CTGGCAGTTGATTGGATGCGAATGAATTGAAGAGTTTTGCTCTTTGTACAAATGAGGGTGTGTTTGACTATTTCTATGGTCAAGCTTTTTTTGAAACGAGGAGTTATTTCTACCTGGTGAGCGTATTTAAGATGTCATGCCTGTTTCTAATGTTACTCTACTGGCAGTAGTGTAGGTTTAGTTTGATGGACATTAGGTGAGCTTGTTTTGTAAAGGTTTCCATTCACCTTGCTGTTTCTGGACACAATTTGCCTATACGCAAACACTGAGGCCTGTGTTGATGGAATAGAGCCTGATCCTTCATCTGTTTTCAGCAGTCTTTATAAATACTGACTTCACTGTCTTTTTCACCCATAATTTAAATGACTTGAATGAATGTTCGTGGCGTAGCGAAGGCCTTACTGCTATATCTCCTATTCAAAACAGCCTATTCACCATACGTGAACACAGATAGGAAGGTGCACAGTTCTTGTGCATTATGTTTCAGGCCGTGCTGTTTTTATACCAAGACTGTATCATATTGACATTGAAATGTTGTCTCTGTCAAAGACCATAGCTGAATAATTACAGTGTCTGCTTATTAACCACAATGCTTAATTGCTGTCAAATGGACCAACTCACATCTCCGTTTAGCAGGAATATTTTGTCATAGGAGGACGAAGATACTGCAAGTGCTTTATACGCTTAAAGTATCAAGGGGGCACAGCAATTTCTGGTTTGCTTGGAAAGAAATTGTAATAGAAGTTGTAATAGCTGTCTGCACACTAAATGCAATGATAAGTTCCGCCATCGGACTAAAGAAACCTCCAGAACCTCGCTGTGGTTATACTGGAGTCATTGCCAATAGCATCTTAGTTCTAGTGCTGCGGTTGGCTTTACTCTAGATTTTGATAGTCTAAAAGTGGCACATAAGCGGTGGTGGTCAACATCACCCTTGGTTAGCTATGCATGCCTTTCTGTAGTATCTGTATACTACTTGCGCCCAGACACTTACTCTGCTTTGACACGATTTATGTTCCACAGGTTGTGGCGGATCATTGCACATCACATTGAAGTACTTCTATATTGATATGCTATGCATGATACATGATGAACAGAATATGACCACTCAGGTTTCTACGGTACGCTGAATGTACCTCCAAATATATTTAGTCTAGTTGTAGGGACTTTTTTAAAAACTTTGTTTATTGAATAGTGCATGTACAAGGCGCGTTCTTCTTACCTTAAGGTTTACTGTGTAGGTTCTGCATCCAAAGTATACAAATATGCTTGAATTTTAAAAATAGGTTTTTATTATTTATATTGTTTACTTTTGTTTTCTTTAAGCAAGAAGGATTCCTCTGACAAATTGACGTTCTCTCAAAAGCTTGTGCTAAAATTAGCTACCAGATATGGATTCAGGCAAAAATTAACCAGCGACATTATTAATGCAGTGTGCAATTTTGACATTTGATGTCATAAGTTCTGAAAAAGCTTTACTCCTCCCCTGTTTAGTTTAAATGGGATTTTCCACATGCTCTTTTAATGAGGAAGGTGGTTGTAAAGTTGCAGTTTGGAGAAGTATGAGTCATTTGGCAAGGCAGAGCATTTAAAGAGATGTGGGCTTTTGTTTTTGCTTTGATTTGCTACAAGATGCCTGACCTTGTTTTTAATAAATAAAAAAATATATATTTCACGTAAATTATTTCAACAGCTTTTGTTTTTTCTTGCATCCTATATTTCTGTCCTGTTATGCTTGAGTGTGTGTATGTGTGTGTGTGTGTGTATATTACACATAGTAGTAATCTCTCTCTCTCTCTCTCTCTCTCTCTCTCTCTCTCTCTATATATATATATATATATATATATATATATATAATATATATATATATATATATATAGTGTGTGTGTATATATTCCCATATTTTTATATTCAGCAATATGGTAATATGGGATCTGGGTCAGCCCTGAAGCCTCATGTGCAGTTCCCTGTACACAGCTTCTTCCATGCCAAGTGGTATACTTAGCTTTTGACTTTGCAATGTGATTGGCTGAGAGGTGTGCTATGAGTTTTCAGGAGGGATGGGGTGGGTCAAACCTGCCCAAAGAATTATAAGTCAGCCTTATGCCTCCCCCACCTTAAACTTTGATAATAATTATAATAATTACAAATCTTGTAGTGAGTTATAGATTTGCATATTTCCAAAAAGCTTGGTAATGCCATTGGCCATTTCTTTCACCATAACTGAATATCCTCTGACCCCCACAAAGAAGGTCCTCCAGTGTTCACCCCAAAGTTATGTGCTTGGTCCTGATTGTCTCAAAAACTAAAATCAGTAATGAAGCTGTGGTACAGCCCAGTAATGCACTGAAGGTGGTGCTGTAGCGTGAGATGTTGGAACTGGGCTGCAGTCCTGCACCTTTCTAATATAGACTTCTAATCTAGCATTCTGAAGGAATTTGGCATTGGCTGGGCTACACCTGTCACTGCTCCACATATCACTATTACAAGTTATGGCTATTCAGCAATATGGGATCTGGGTCAGCTCTGAAGCTTCACGTGCAGTTCCCTGTACACAGCTTGTTCCATGCCAAGTGGTATACTTAGCTTATAGGGTGTTTGTGACAGCGATACTTTTAATTTGCTATTCCTGTCAGATTCCTCCATGATCCTGTTCTTCAGAGCTAAAGAGAGCAGGGCCCAGACCTTTGGTCTTCAGATATCTATCTAGCTTGACATTTCCTTTTAGTGTTGATTAAATCTTTTTAAATGATAAACCAGATCATATGATGCTATAGCAGGATGTTAGAAACCACAGCCTCTGCCATTTCGGTTCTGGGTATACAGCTAAAACACTGCAGCAGGTTTGACTAAAAAAGTGACAAGTCATGAAAGTGTGATAATGAGTTATCACAGTGGAGTATATATATATATATATATATATATATATATATATATTCTATTGTTTTACCTATGCTCTGGTGCAACTCATCATGAACTCATTATACCATTTATGCAGCACATCAGTGCCTAGTATGTGGGTGAAAATAACTGTTCTTATTTAATGTTAAACCAGGGGTCACCAGACCGCTAGTTTAACATTAAATAAGAGGGGATCTATCTTCCTGCAGGTTCCATCTCCAAACCAGATCTTACACACCGCATTCAGCTAATCAAGAACTTCTGAAGACAATAATTATATGAATCAGGTTGGGGTCAGTTAAGTTTAGAGCCAAAGTTAGATCTCCAGGAACAGGCTTGGTTACCTCTGTTATAAACCAGCAGGGTCAACATCTAGAGCAGGGGTCACCAATCTTATCCGCACAGGGCTAGTGCACCTGCAGGTTTTCATTCCAGCCAAGCAGGAGCACACCTCATATGACGACCAATTGTTTGACGATGGAGAGTAACTAAATAAAACAAATGAAATCAGGTGATCTGGCTGGAATGAAAACCTGAAGCCACACCTGCTCTTTGCAGACAAGACTGGTGAACTGCAGTTGTTCAGTGGAGCAATGGAGAGGTTGAATTGAAGAGGTTTGCTCTTAGTACAAATTAGGGTGCTTTAAACTTTGTAGTCAAGCTTTTTTTTTTCTTTTTTTTAAGAAAAAGAGTGTCTGGTTCTCATGTTACTCTGCTGACAGTAGTGGTTCCACAGCTTAGGTGAGCTTGTTCTGTCAACATGTGCATGTTTCCATCCACAGGTCAACCTCAGTTCACGAAACAACTCTGAGTAGCTGTGATCTAACACACCTGATTCAGCTAATCAAGACAATAATTACTATAATCAGGTGGGGGTTGATTAGGGTTGGAGCTAAAATCAACAGGAAGGTAGACTTTCCGGAATTGGGTTGGCGACTACTGTGTTAAACCATCAGAATCAAAACCATCAGGGGTCACTAATCTTATCTTCAAAGGGCCAGTGTGGCTGCAGGCTGCAGAAGCTCACCTAATTCCAGTTGTTTGAAAGCTGGCTTCAGCTATAGCTATATGAGATGAGCTTCTGCTTGGGTGGAATGAAAATCTCCTCCACATCTGCTCTTTGCAGATAAGACTTGTGATATCTGCTCTAGAGGGCTGCTGGTTTGTTTTCCCTTCAAGATGCCTCATTTAGCAGCTTATCATGAAAACCAAAGGTTGATGTGTTTTAGATGAGAGGAAAAACCTACTTGTAAATCTCCTTGCACTGTCATATCATTGGCTAATGATCAACTCCATTTTGAACTGAATCTGGGGTGTTGGAATAGGAAAACACAAACAAGGTAGGGACAACAAGACTGTGACAAGGACTGTGGTGGTGGTGGTGGGCAACATCACCCTTGGTTAGCCATGCACACTTTCCTGTAGTATCTGTATACAACTTGTGCCTGGACACTTGCTCTGCTTTGACACGATTTATGTTCCAGGTTGTGGCATATCATTGCACATCATGTTGAAGTACTTCTATATTGGGATTATAGGTGAGCAACATGGCAAAATACAGTGTCGCAATACTTTAAGAAATTTTCATAATACACAATATGTCACAATATTTCTTTTTTCAGAAATCTGTTCAGTTAAAACTGAGAAGAAAAGTAGCAAAAACTGTAAATGCAATGCTTTTAATTCAGTATTTGGCATACTGTGTTGCATTAAATCCAGTCAAACTGGACTAATTTTACTCTCTTTACAATGAAACAGGCAGTTTGTCAGTGCTCTACACATATGATATCCATGGGACATAATTTATCATGATAGTGTCATATTGTCCAGCCCTTATCAGTATGCTTTGCATATGACCACTCAGGTTTCTATGGCGCACTGAATGTACCTCTAAATATATTAGATGCAGTTGTGGGGACTTTTTGAAAAGCTAAGATAGTTAATAGTGCATGTTTGATTCCTCAGCAGAGTTTAATAGAAGCTCCACAGCTTGAATCATGTAGGGTTTTCACTGTCACATCATTGGCTAAGTATCAACTCCCTTTAGAGCTGAATATGGGGTGTTGGAGCAGGAAAATACAAAACCAACAGTACAACCATTTACTTCCTCAAAGCTTTATTCTTTAAAGTGACTCAGAACGTTTAAAAACACAAACACCACTTACAGTAACAGTTACACACACATATGGGGCCAACACCCGAACATAATGTGATATTCATGTGCGCAGCTGCAACCGGACACTGGGGGGAATCGAGTTCCAGCGACCACATTTGGAAAAAAAGGGGATCTGAAAGAGGGTCACTTGGCACCGCGTATCCCCTTTGGTAGGTCAGCGAAGGCGAACAAACATTTGGACCACGATCCGTTTCTCATTTCAACTCCAGTCTGATCATGTTAGCTGTAAACAACAACAGGAAAAACAGAAGAGAACATGTAAAACTACACCTCGTTTTATGACTTTCTTAGCAACCTGTCGAAAAGTGTTATATTTTAATAAATGTAGCTCTAAATGTGCAGAAATTCACTGTATAAACAATAAAATTTGGGGGAAAAGTCAGACATGTTGCTGGTGCTGTTAAAATGGCTGCTGTTACACAACAACAGGGTGGAAAAGACGAGGATGAAGTCAGCTTCCTATTCGAATTTCCCCGTTCCACCTTAAATGGTGCAGCAGGTACATTCAGTCGCCCCTGGCGCCAGAAGGTAACTGCTGCACCATTTAAGGTGGAACGGGGAAATTCGAACAAGGCGCTGGCAATCAAAGCTGACTTCAGCTTCGTGTGGAAAAGAGGAACATGCCCTGACATGTTGCAACAGTACGAGACAAAAGAGCACCATAAAATGACAAACAGACTCTCTAAAAGATTAAACTTACCAGAATCCACATCATGAACCTCTCAAGACGAACAGCTTTTGGTCCTCTTGCGCTTCATTTCGCTGTTGTGGTATTTCTCCACTATCTTCCTCTCGTGTCCTGCAGGGCAATGGCGGTTAGTGTTGAGTCCGATTTCCCTCTTAGTTCTCCCTTTTCCTCCAGCGTGACACGAATATTCATTCAGGTTGTAATATTCATACTCGTCGTAGTGAGTCTCTTCGAACAAGGCCAGTCTTTCGATGTCAGCTGCCATTTTTCCAGAGGATTTTTCTCTCTCTGTCTCGTTGCTCCGTTTCTCTCAGACGCTCTCCTTCTGTGAGTAAACAACGCATTATGTCACGTAGTTTTCAATAACATCAAGGTCACGTGGCCATGAAGTTCTCGGGTGCTGATTGGATTAAAAAAACACATGACAACAGGCACAGTGACAACAGTACACGCCCACTTTCAACGGTCACCGTCTCCTCTTTCAGCTCAAGTCAGTTCAGTTCGTCTTTGTTTGTATGGCCAGCAATTTAAAGGAGAATTCCACCGATTTTCAAAATTTCTGTATAACTCAGAGATCGAGATACAACATTATTGATTCATAGTGGTTTGATGTGAAATGATTCATTTGCAGAGAAACTTCCAGATCTCATTACAGTGGTGGTTATAGGAACCAAGAGTCCTTATGTCTACAACGCAAATATACGCATTTCATTTACTATCCGGAACCACCAGTGAACCTACACATCTCTTGAGGTTTTTATGTAACGTTGATGATGGTAAAATATTGTCGAATCTGATTAATAAATGAATAAATTGATTAAAATACCAAATACCAAATTGATTAGACCAAAACTTTATCACAAAACTACCGTAAAGCAATGTCTTTACTTAATTTCATGTAATAACTTTCTGTGAGGGAGCTTTTAGAGGCGTTAAACTCCTCAGACGTCTGGTTCCTATCACCACCACTATAAACAATTCTGAATCTGTAAGTTTCTCTAGAACTCTAAATGAGTTTATCATCTTAACAATTTAAATATGCTCATATAATACAGTGGACGTCTCTTTTAAAACTCTATATATATTAAAAAAATAACTTTTTCTAAATGAAATGCAATTAGAGATCTTTTACATTCACTGATTTTAAAGATTATTGATTTCTTTCCCAGGTCCATACATTAGAATTATTTATAGAATAATTTGTGATCTAATCAAAACTTATTGCTGCCTTTCAATGTAACATATATCCTTTTTGCAATGAAAACACCAGTAGTATTTGAAAATTTAGTATAGTAACAATTTCTTTGCACCCCTATCTTTTTATAATATCCACTCACAGATAAATAACATAATTTGATCTGATGAAGAAGATGGAATTTAAAATAAGCTATGTGTCATATTTTGGCCATTTTCCATTATTTTCCTCCTTGTGGACAGGGATGCTAAACATATCAACCCTGTTAGTTTAACGTTCCATGGACAAAGAATTAATTATGAAATGTATGTACCTAACACACACACACACACACAAATTTTCCAAGCCGCCTATCCTTTTGGGTCGCAGGGCGAGCATTATATATATATATATATATATATATATATATATATATATATATATAATGTTTCTGAAAACGCAGACACTATTTTGTCTAATGCCTTTAAGACAAACAATGGCTGACTTAAAAGTGCAGTGTGTAGAAATTAGTGGCATGTAGTGGTGAGGTTGTAGATTGCAACCAACTGAATACTCCTCCTTCATCCCCTCCTTTCCAAGTATGTAGCAGAACTTACAGTGGCCGTCAGGTAGATTAGTACACTTACCTGTCCATCAGACAAAAGGCAATTTCAGCATCATTCTGAAAACATTTGTCCCTTGTCAGCATATTTCCATCTGGGAAAGGCCACACCAGTGTTTATCCTTGCTTTCTGCCATCGCCTGTCCTGATTTTGTTTTGCTTCTTCATGTTTTTGCTTCTTTGATGACAAGGACTGACCCTCTTTTGTTTTTCCTTCTGCTAAATATTAAGCATGATCTCCTGCTTGTCAGAATTTGGGTCCTCAAACTTCTCATGACACAAAATTCTTAGGCAGCACCGTTAGCAGCCACTGATTCTTCTTCAGTCTTCCAACCGGTGCTATAGTACCACCAAATTCAAGCGAAAGGCACCCTCTAGACCTAGTGTTTGGTTTGACCGTTCTGGGCTACTGTAAAATCATGGTGACGCAACATGGCAGCCTCTGTTGGAAGAGGGCCTGCTCCTCATGTAGATATGATGGGCTCATTGGAAGCTAACAACGACACATCGATTTATAGTTACAGGTTTTTATACACTAATGAAAACATGGTTTTGTATACTTTACTCCATTTCTGCTAGTAACCCCTGTAAATCTTACACACTGCATCTTTAAGCTGCAAACCTAAACCCTGTTACCATCAGCTCTGTTACCAACCTAAAGGTAACATGCCTGACTATTTCAAACAACTTTGAGAAGTTTGGGATCATAGATTCTCCACTTTTGCAGACTGACCCTACAACAGACAGTGTCAAAAAGCACCACATCCTTCAGAGCAAGCCAACGGCAACAGTGTCAGAAACAACTAACAAAAGGATGAGGAAGAAACACTGAGAGGAACTAAAACTCAAAAGGAGAACCTATCCTGATAGTGGAATTGTGGCACAAGTAGTACAAGTTTATATGTAAGATTAAACAGAAACACTCAGATCATAAGAGAAAAAAATATATGATATAAACTAATGACCAATATAAATGACCAAATGACCAAAATAAAAAAAGATCTGGTAGCACATGTAACACATGGGAATGTAGTAGGTAAGGAGTTCGGTACGAGTGTAAAGCAGGATTACAACATCCACAAACAAGTTTGGACTTCACGAAGGTTAGCCTGGCAAACCATATTAGATTTAAATTGAAGTAATAATGTTTAAACTAGTAAAAAACATATCAAAACGTTTACTAGTATGATTTCTATTTTGGAATGTAAGATTAGAAGGAGAAATATTAAGAGTGTAAGTCTCAGTAGCAGAAAACATTTTTAGCATACAGGATTTCACTTCTCAAGAGGAAGAATGTGCACATTCAATTCTTACATGTAAGTTCTACATTTGTACATGTAACAAATTCATTTTAGTAAGAAAATATGAAATTGAGTGTTTTATTATTTAGTAAGTTTTTATTATTCAATTTTGTTCATATTAGTAAAAAATGTTCCTACAATTAAAATGAAGTGGAAATTGCATTGAATTCTTACTAATGAGAACTGAAATCTTGCATGTTAAAAATTTCCACTAAAAGCTGAATTGTGACATGTTGGAATTTGACTATTTCAATGAGCAATTTCATATTTTTCCTAGTACTAATTAAGGTGGCTTGAAAAAGCCAACTTGCTGTTTTTTGTTTAGTCTTCTTATTATTGTTCTAGAGTCACAAATTTGCACAGAATCCTCCTACAGCTTTGCAGTGTATGTATCACAGTAAGTACACATATAAGTAAGCAACACCTTAGCAACCACTTAAGATAGCATACTAACTGTCTAGCAACCACCTTAGTTACATAGCAACAACTTAGCAACACATTAGTAATCACCTGGGATGCTACAGCAATGACCTAGCAACACCTTAGCAACCACCTGGGATACCACGTACAACAGCAACGGCCTTGCAGCACCTTAGCAACCACCTGGGATAGCACAGCAATGGCCTAGCAACAACTTAGCCACCACATGGGATACCTTAACAAATGCCTAGAAACACTTTGGCATCCACCTTGTATACTACAGCAATGACCTAGCAATACTTTAGCAACCACCTGGGATACAATAGCAACATCCTAGCAACACTTTAACAATGACCTAACAACCACTAAGCAACTTCTTTAAACAAACTGAAATACCATAGCAACAATCGATCAAAAACAGTGTTCTGAAACTTTTGAAGCATTATTAGCTTTGTCAAGCTGACTTAAATGTTGTTCACAAACTTTCCCTTTCTAGTTACATTTTGAAGCTTATTGCAAGTCATGACAGATTAGAGTTTGATGTTTTATTTCTACATAAAAAATGAGAGTGACAAAAAACTGTCACTGGGGTACCATATTTTTAAGTCACACTGACTTTTTAAATATTGTATGTAAAAAGTTATGTTATGAAAAGGTGTAAATATGTTTCTTTTCCCTGGGAAAGTGAATGTTTAAAATTAATTTATATTTGACCCTAATGGCCATGGTGTATTGGCTAACTCTGACTTTTCGGTGAAATATTCCTGTAATTCCTGATTATTCAAACCAAAGCAGTATCAGGCATGAGAGACAAGATAGTTCCACTGGGTGGCGGTATGGTGTTAATGTTAATGCTGATGCACTTGTACAACATCATGTGTGGCAGAAGAGGTGAGTAGAGAGGCCTGAAGCCACAATCAAGTAAAGGTATTGTTGCTTCAGTTAAATAATTATTCAAATAAGCATACATCAGCATGTCATACAAAAGTACATTCAGAGTCAAATGTATATTCAGACCCTTGTCTGAAACGCTTTTGGTCCAAAATAAACCAATAAAGTGAGAAGTGCAGCAACAACAAAGCAGTCCAAGTGACAAAAAAAACAAAAAAAAAAACAGAACAGAATGAAATCAAATGCAAAAAAAAGAGAATGACAAATAACCTGAATGAGTCAAATAGAACTAGGAAAAGATGGACTTCATTAAAGTGCTTCTTGATTGGCAAAATTGAGTCTAGTTTATGCCTCAGGGCCTCTGGGGAGTTCAAGCTTCACCTCAATACAGACTCTGTTTTCCTGACCAGTTTTTTCAGTTTGTTCACAACATTTATTAATGTTGCCGCCCCAGCATGTAGCTGCAAAGAACAAATCTTTACCTACTCTGGACTGGTAGAACAAGTGCAAATAATTAGTGCACACTCAAAGAACCATTCAAATACATGAATCCTTCTTTGCATGGTTACACAGTTCTTCTCTGTGACCCTGTTTTAATATAGCACCAAAAAGGGTCCCACTGTTGCGACAAGTCATAAAACCTTTCCTGGTATTACGCAGACCCCTGGCAGGAAAGCATACATTCATCCACATTTCATTTAGTAAATGGAACTGAGTAAATGTGACTACTCGCCACACCTCATGAGAAGTGTCAGAACTGGCTTTGGAAGGGCCAATAGCATGGAAACCTGAATTTTCCTCACTTTTAAAATATAAGAGTTTGATGTGGTATTTAAACACAAACATATGCCAGTCATTCCCCAGTCCATACAGTCCACATATAAAAACTAACGCTGCTTTAGGGTGCTCATCGGAAAGGCTGTGAGTTCCAGTTACTTAACTAGTAAATACGACTTCACCTCATTTGGGGACTCATAGAGTGCGTTTACATAATCCGATCATAATCAGATTTCTGCAGTTATCTGATTATTCAGATGGTCAGGTAAACATCATCCTCCTAAATCTTAGATCGGAGTAAGGTCTAGAAATCCAATTAAGAAATCTGACAAACGGAGATTTTGGCTCAGTAATCAGATTTCTCAGTGCATGTAAACTCTTACTCTGATTTCGTTCGGATTTCTCAGCCTGTGCATTATCTGATTACTCAAGTGCATGTAAACGTGTTGATCGGATTACTGACAAAATCTGATTTTCTGTAGTTATTGGATTATTAAGTGCATGTAAACGCACTCATAGATGTGCCCACCACACAGTAAAAAGCGTGGAGGTCCGGAGAATACATACATATCCTGCTTTTTCTTTGTTGCAGTAAAGTAAGCACATAGATCTAATAGAAGCACATTGGGCATGTCATTTTTTCGCATTCACTGCAGTTTAACGTTTTTCATTTGTGGAAAAGGTGAACGTTCGCCTTACACATCTCATAAACTCGTGTATCATCAAAATCTTGAGTTTACCAGTTGTGAATTCAACTTTGTTGGCCATTCATGTGCAATTTGCATGTGGGAAAATTGATATTTCCCAGTTTGCAGGACCGCTAAAACGCAGCATAAGCTGCAAAACTATCCTGTTTTACATGTACTGTTTTTATGATGTTACACAGACTCAACACATTTACGTACATTTATGTATTCAGCCTACAACCGTTTAGCTCCGCCCATTCATGTTGAAGTTATAAAGAGTATTTCAGCCCAGACTGCTTTCTAAATGAGGCAGGGTACAGGGCAGCCAATCAGAACGGAGGTCATTTACATATGTCGGTCTTAAAGGCACACTAACAAAACCGTCTTTGTCATTCTAAAAGATAAAGGGAGGTTGGAAAATGACCATGTTTTTGGTTTACAACACCACACGAACGTTATAAGTGGAACTTATCATGCATGAAAAATGTAGGATATAGACCCTTTAAATGAATGTTCTACTGTATCTGAAACGTTTGCTATGCTGGAAACTATATGGAATGGAAGTAATGAGTAATTGGGCAAGGCTAGAAATCCTGGGCCTCTGAGAAAAGCTTATAAGTCATATTTAATAACTTGCACGTTTCGGGGCTCTTTTCCATGCCTGGACTCAATGAATCAGTCAGACCTTTTAATTTGCAAGGTTAGTAGTTTCATTATCAAACCAAGAGAACACAGAAAGTGCAGATGAACTCTCGTAACCCTTTGCGAGGAGCAGTGTGAGCTCCCACTGGCCGGCAGAGTGGTCAGACGCGGGGAGACACGCCCCAGCACGGCGTGGCGCGGCTCTTCCACGTCGCAGCTCGCCGCGGCCCCCGACGGGAGGAGGCGGCGTGTGTGTGTGCGAGCAAAGGCCGGGGAAAACATGGCGGCGCCCGTCTTGAGAGTGTCCACCCCACGGTGGGAGAGAATAGCCCGGCTCCTCGTCTGCCTCTTAGGGATCCTGCTGTCCTTGTACGCGTTTCACGTGGAAAGTGAAAAGTCGAGGGATGCGAATTATCGGGCCATGTGCGACCTGAGCAGTTCGATAAGCTGCTCCAAAGTCTTCACCTCCAGGTAAAAGAGACAGCGGCGGCGGGGCTGCAGCCACGGAGAGAAGGAGAGAGAGCCGTCTGTTATTTACGGAGCTGAAGTCATCTTCTAATTCGCCAGCTTCTTGTTCGAATTTTCCCGTTCCACCTTAAATGGTGCAGCAGCTACAATGTGTACATACAATGTTGTGCACCATTTAAGGTGGAACGCAAAAAAATCGAACAAGAAGCTGGCGAAAAGGAAGCCAACTTCAGCCTTGTTTGTTGTTTGTGTGTTCGAGCCAGTCCGAGTCTGGGTCGGTTAGTTGATGTGCTGCCTGGTGTGCATTATTTGATTCATTCTCAGACTTCATTCACAGCACTGAGCGTTTCTTCTTTCAGCAGACCAAAGCGAGAGCGCTGTGATACAGGCTAACCTTGGCTAACGTTAGTCAACACAGAAACACTTATCCAGCTAAGGTTGGATGAAGGGAGCTAACGTTAACGCTAACCTGGCTAAAGAGTGTCTCTTTTGTTGGATAGCTCATTCCATAGCGAGTGTTGCTTGTTGGCTTGACGGTTCATAAAACTGGCAAAACAATATTGTGCTAATTTGGGCTAGCAGGCTGTAAATGAGTACAACATAGCCAAGTTAACTAGCTAGGCTAACTTGCTAGCTACAATCAATATCAGCGTAGCCTATCTTTTCGCTTAGCGCTATTTGCGATTCTAAGCAGGTTTTTTCTTTTTCTCTAGTTATCACTGGCTTTTCTGGTTATTAAACATCATTTTGCTTTATGTTTTCTGTGAGAAGAAGAAAAACCTTATTATAGCCGTCAGCCCCCGCGCTAGCTAGCTTAGCTAAGCTAGCTAACTCATAACAGCAGGATGCCGGCGGGCAAATGTAAAATAGGCGCCCTTTTCATGGCAGTGAAAGTTGTGATGAACGTAAAGCACCTGCTGTTGCTGTCGTTTTGTTTTTAGTTTAGATTTCGCAGACTTTTCATTCTAGAAGTAACGCTAGACACATTATCCAGCTGCTGCTGCAAGATGCTAAGTTAAACGTTACCGCCTGGTAAACATTACGTTAGCCGTTAGCTGGCTAGTTGTCAAGTTGAATCGACTATAGTCCGCCGCTCTCTCACAGGTTTTTATCACGCCGGTTGGCAAACTGCATTTTTCTGCGTTTCACTAACAAGCCACGTTTTTTCGTACTATCGTCTGAAATCGTGTTCAACCTTTGACACCGACGAGTTCATTTATGAGTAATTCACTGACGTGGAACTAGACGGTGGCGACTAAGCGCAAGTGAGATTAACCAGAGGTGATCTGTCCGTGTTTAGGTCATGTTTGCGCTGTCAGTTTGAGCTCTTGACCCTTGTCTGTTGGTTGATGCAACTAGTTAAAGGGGATTTCCACATAGTTTTCTAATTTATTTAACGTTAATATTTAAATGGTTAAGATGTAAGCAAAGTCATCCACAGTGGTTTAATGTGAAAGACTCTGTTATAGAGATACTCAACGAGTCAGAATTGTTCACAGTGGGTGTGATGGGAACCAGGTGTCCTCTACAGGGTGGACGAAAAATACCTCTAAAAGCTCCATCATATATAGGTCTTAACGTTACATCAATTGTTTAAAGATAATTTTGAGAAGTTTCTGGTCTAATTTTTTTTTATACATTTAAGGAGGAGTACATGCATGGCGTTGTGTGGCAAAAATAGTCCCAATAGAAAAAATATTTTTTTTCAGATTTACTACTTTATATTATCATCGTCAATATTACATTGAAAAGTTCAGAAGATGTGTAGGTTTGCTGGTGGTATTGGATAGTAATTTCTGCAATGGATACATTGTGGTCCCTGGTTCCTATCACCACCATTGTAAGGAACTCCGAGTCAGTAAGCTTCTCTAGAACAAAGCATTTGACATGAAAACACTCCAAATTACTTTGTTTACATTGATGATTGAATTATTCTGAAACTTTGAAAAATTGGTGGAATTCCCCTTTAAAGTAAATGCATAGTTGGGTGAAAAGAAGTACATTAATCTAAATTAGTTTAAATGTCTCTTCAGTCAAAATGTAATGCCTGAGGACCACAGTCTGACTCTTGAAGGGGAACTCCATAAATTTTTCAAAATGCGTAATTCAGTTGTTGAGATGTAAACAGTGTTATTAAGAGTGGTTTGATGTGTAATGATTGATCATAGAGAAATGTATGTATCAGTTCAGATTTCTTTACAGTGGTGGTGATAGGAGCTGTAATGCAAATATAACTGTTTTATTTGAAATTTGAAAATGACAAGTGAACCTACGTGTGTTATCTCAGGTTTTATGTGTGTGTTGTTAATATAAAAAAAACAAATAGGAGTAAATCTGAAAAAAGTTTGTTTCCTCAGGTGTCATTTTGCCTTATAACCTCTCTGCAATTCATCGTAGGTCAAAAACCTTCTCACAATGTTTGTGAAAAGGCATTACTCAGTGTATTCAAACCAATTCATGTAATAACTTTCCTTGAAGGCTTTAAATGCTTTTGACATCTGGTACCAGCACTGTGAACAATTCTGATTCGGTAAGTTTCTCTAGTACAGTGCATTCCACGTCAACCACTCTGAATTACTTTGTTTACATACCAATCGTTTAATTATGCAGAAATTTTGAAAAATCACTGGAATTCCCTTTTACGAATAACCACAGCAGGCTGCTCTCAGTTTTCAGTAGCTGTTTTGTTTTTTGTTCTTCAGCTTAACTTGTTTTCAGTGATTAAAGAGCCCTTGGGAAATCAGGGGAAAGACGTTTGATAACGAGGAGAGTCATGAGAATAGACCTGCTGATGCAGACTGTTTTAAATCAGTCATGCATAGACCTTACGTGCACTTATTTTGAGGAACATCATGTTAAGAGAAATGTGACTCTTAGATGGTAAAGCAAGCAGTTAATTGAACTCGCTGCGTTCATTTTACATTGGCGAGTAGAGATCAACATACTGGTGATATTCACCTCATTCTGCTTTTGTATTATAGACACCAGAAGTCTGGAGTTTTCCACTTTAGAGCTGTCAGCCGATCCACATGGCCTTGGTCAAAGACTGACTGAGTCAAAGCTGACGTGCATAGGCACTTGATGGGAGACAATTGGAGATAGGGAAGTTCCACATGTGACTGCTGGGCTTAGTGGTAGTAATAGTGTTTCTCTTACTGGCACACATTATATGCAGGTTTGTCCCCCTCATGGAAGTAAAACTATTGTAATCCATTCTGCCTTCAGAAGCCATAATTCATCCTAGTGCTCACCAGTGTTGCTAAAATTCAGTATTGTGATATTTTCCAGATATAACATTGTGTCAGATGATATTTAAGTGCTGCTCTATATTACACAAGTGTCATACAAACCTGACATGGCTAATTTTGATTGGAGGGGTTTGTTCTGTTTTCATTGCTTAAAATTGCACCAACGGGAATCTTACACCAAATTGCGAACATGAAATATACAGAAAGCACATTCCGAGAAAGAAAACTTACTGTTTACTTTTATTTGTAAGCATTTTAACCTGTTCTTTCAAAACATTCTGAAACACCCAGTAAATATACACAGTAGTTAAGCAACCAAAATATGATTAAAGAGTTAAAAACAAAGTGCTTGGAAACAACGACACCCTATGTTCTGGGCATTATATTGTGGATAAAATGTTATCTGCCAAATATATCACTAACAATACTGCTAAAATTCAAAAGCAACATCACGGTTTTTCACTGTTGTGCTATTCCAGTATAGACAACGTGTCTCTCAGCCCTAATGTATTCCAACTAATGATGCATCGAAATGAAAATTCCTGGCTGAAAACAGAAATAATTTTTTGAGTGTGCTCTTTTATTTATGCTTTTGAATAAACATGCTAAACATAACAACAACAAGATAATAAAGAAAAAGCACTTTTCATATTGACAAAGTCTGCTTTGCGAAAGACAGAATTCAGCTGACAGTAAATAAAAACAGTTTACATAAAATAAACTTACTAAGATTATTACACACGTAGGCTACAGCATGTGCCGCAAAATCCAACGTCCTCCTAAACTGAGATCAGTTGGTCATTCAAGGCAAAAAATTCCTTTATTTTCTTATAATTTGCATATTTGCACTGTTTTTTGTGTTTGTTTTCCATCCTTTCCAAACCTGTGGCTACAGATGACATTGTCATACTGACAGGGACTCTTTATCTTCTGATTTTGCTGTATTCAGTGCATTAAGCAGGATGTTGTGTTTTCAAGAAGTATCAGAATTGTAGTGGAGAAGTTTTGGCATTGTACCCTGTTGATACTTGGGATGAGCATTGATTACAAATCGCTTGTCTAATGTCCCTCATAGAAACTGAAGTAACTCCTCATGGCTGATGTTTTTACTGTTGATCTGCTGCTGCTCAAACCGTTTGAACAGTTTGTACAAAAATAGCATTTTTAGTCTCATTTATTCTCATTTTAATCATCTTCCAAACGATTTGTTATGTGTTGGATCTTGACACTTTGTTGTAGTCCTATTTAAATTTTTGCCCTTATTTACTTCTAAAAAAGTGTTTAGGTGGTAGAGTTTCTGCGCATCCTTAATTCCAATATCTTTATGCAGTTGTTTGAAATAATACATTTATTATGAAGTATATGGAGAGAGATGTGATCTTCTGATAGATATTCTGCAAAAAGAAGCAGCAGCTGTGTTGTTTTCTAGTGCTGTCCGGGCTTCTGTTGTGCTTTCAAAGCCTTGCGGGTAACGCTGGTGAAAACTGTGAATCTTGTGAAGGAAAGTAGGCACAAAAACAGCAAACCAAGCAACAGCTCTGTGAGATTTCACATGACTGGCATTTCATAACCTCTCTTAGCCATTTACAGGCGCATATGACTTGTGCTTTTGATAACTAGATCAGTTCTTTCATCCACACTAGTGGGCTGAGCGTAACTGAATTAAAGTGGGATGCTGACACCACTTCTGTGGGATGCAGTTCTGGACGTCATCATTTACTGCTGACCTGAAACCACTTTGTGGAAGTGCTTTGGTTAAGCAAGCTGCTACTAAATCATTACAAAAGGTCAACTTCTCTCCAGATTGTAGCCTTATAGGTTAAGAGGGCAAAAATGTCAGAAGCATTTGTGTTATTCACTTTGAGGCAGCCCCCTGGAAACTTTGGACAATATAGTACATTTTCCACTGTTAAACAGGGGACGAATTCTTCTGGGTTTTGTAGCTGAATGACCTAAGAGTCCTGGAAACCTACTCTGAAAGCAGTCTTGTTTGTGTAATAGGCTGTTTCCTGCACAATATCGGGCAGTCTGTAGTGCTTGTAGCTCAGTTTCTTTAATAAAGTAGTCAGTAAGGCACTTTGATTACTTGTTGCTGCGGCAAAGGGTTTGAGAAGTTTTACGTAATGTGTTTTGTCCTTTTTTTAATCCCTTTAGGCCACATTGAAAATCTGTCACTATTTGACAGGGTGAAAGGAAACACTCGTGAGTTATCAAAAGCATTCACATAAAGCGACGTGAAGACAAACATAGACGATTGACAGGTATACAGGCAGACAAGACAGACAGACGCCTATTGGCTCTTAAAGCACCGGGGAATTAAAAGGGAAAATTATTTCCCCTGTTCAAACAGTGACTAATGGGAGTTGTGAAAAAAGCTGTCATTAATGTGATGAGCTTCGTTATGTAGACCGTATCAGTGTTTGTTTGATGGCTCATAAAAGCAAAAGGACTCGTGGGATTTAAAAACCTGCCAATGCTGAAAATGTAGGTGGCATAAATTTTGCCCAATCCTCTGTGCGTGCTGTTAGTATTCATGTTTGCTGTTTGTATCATGAATGCAATTAGATGATTTGATTATTAGTGCCTACTCCAGGCCGTGGGCACCTCCCACTCAGGTGAGTTTGAAATTGAAATGCAAGGGGACTGATTAGGCCTTTTGTAATCTACTCTGGCAGAGATAGGGCTCATTCCAGTGGCATCAGGTCATCAGATGTACTATATAGATTTGGTACTTTGCCCTAAGAACAAAGGAAATCCACCTTTAACAATGCAGTGGTGTGATCGTCTTGCACTGGGGAGCCCTGCACTAGTTACATCACTCGCATCTGCCCACGCTGAGATTACTCAAAGGCTATAGACATCTGAAGGCATAGCATATTGGAGGCCCTTAGTCCCACCCTCCAATAAAATGAGCCAATCTGCTTGCTGGTTTAGTGGCAGCCGGGAAAAGCTTTCATTGCGGAGATATGTAAATGTGGAGTAACCAGAAAAACCAAATGGCACAAACTATTTATGCCGGTTTTGTCAGATGTTACCAGTGATTTCGGACATGTTTCTGACACATTAATTTGGCTTTACTTTGGGATTTATAGGTCTCTCCCTGTCCAAAGAGACAGGAGCTTGGTCTTGCATGGCTGGAAATAACTGCCCGGGGGTGTTGTCAAGATGGCCACCAAGTGGGCAAACTTTCCTGTAAGGACTTTAGAGCGTCCTGTTGGAGTAAAGTGGGTGGTGGATGGGACTGATTGTATACCTGCAACAGTTCCTTTAAGACTGGGCTTTTATTCTGAAGTCTCTAATAAATTCTCAGGTTTGTGATTCTTGGGGCTTCTTTTTTTATTGAAAATATAATTGAAAATTGTATTCAACCTGAAAATATGTGTATCAGTTAGCACTGTGCCAGATTTATTTACCATTATTTGTGAAAAATGTGTTCTTAAATTTAATGATTTGTTTCAGGCAAACCATAGGAAGACATTAAACCGGTGCAAAATGCTGTTTATATGGTACAGTGTGTATTTTAGGACATCCTCAGAGCGCAGCATCCAGTTCTTTGGGAAATATACATGAGTAAAATCATGCCTTGGCTCCAATACATCAGGCAAAAAGCCTATATCATGTTCTTTCATTTCATAGAGATTAGCAGGATTCCTACATGTTCTTGAAAACCTGGAAATTTATAGCCTGGTTTTCCAGTAATGAAAAATAATAAATTGAAAAAAATGTTTTAATGTATTAATGTATTAAAGTCCTGGAAAAGTGTAACACTGAGATATTTTAGAATATGCACACTGTGTTGGGACATCTGGTAGAGTAAGTTACGTTAACACATAGCAGTTTCCTTCAGTGTATCACATTCACTTTGAATATTTTAGTTGGACTTGTGGTCAGATGATGACCGGAGGAGGATTGGTTTGTGTGAATGTCACTTTATCATGCAGTCAGTAGGGGTTTGTATTCTTTAATGACTTTAATGTTAAGCGTTCTGGAAGTTATGTGTCATTTCAACAGCTGTCTTTTTAAATAAGCCTATATAATATATGTATATAACTGTATAAGTGTATGTAGCTGTCCTGGAGTTTGTTCTGAAAAATCATTCCCTAAAAAGTGTGAGACCCTGTTTAGGCTTCAGTTCACACTATGTCACAGTGTTTGCTTCTGTGTCCACTTCAGTGTGAAGCTCACAGTAGACTGTATGATAATAGTGGGCTTGTATCTTTGCATGTCGCACGAGTTGCTGCAAATAAATTCTTGGAAAATTCCGTGACAGACTGTGCAACGTCAGTTATGCTGCAGGTCAGATTATGTGATAAAGATTTTCTGGTGATCTGTGATGCAAGAAAATGACAACATTTTTGGCTGTGAGCTTAGAGAGAAATTCCACTAATTCCACTAAGTCTCTGAATAATGAAATGGTTAAGATGTAAGAAAAGTCATTCTGAGCTGTTTGGTGTGAAATGGTCTGATCTAGAGAAAGTAAGAATTGTTCACAGTGGTGGTGATGGGAACCAGACATCTGAAGTATTTAATAAAAGCTCCCTTGCAGAAAGTTTCATTATGCGGTCATGAATATTCTGCCTGGTGTCCGAAACATTTGTTTTCCAAAAGTTCTGCAGTAATGATTTGGCCTGAAACATTGATTTTTAAAAGCCATTCCTGGCGGAGGGGTACATGTAGGGTTTTGTGAGACAAAATAGTTCCCAAATTTACCCGATTTTTCCCGATTTACCACTATTTTGCCATTATCAACAACACAGAAAAATCTGAAAACACATTTAGGTTCACTGGTGATTTATTTAGTAAATAAAATAGCAATTTTTGTGTTGTGCACATCGTAACCCCTATGGTTCCTATCAGCACCACTGTAAAGAAATTAAAGTTTGAAAGTTTCTCTGCAGTGAATCATTTCACATCAAACCACTAATTGATTTTGTTTACATCTCAGTGACTGAATTATACAGAAAATTGATGGAATTCCCCTTTACAGGAAATAGGCTCATTATGTCCATTACATGGTAGGTAGCTCTGCAGTTTTAAGGCAGATTGATATGTATGCAAATTTATTATCCTCTCTCTCTCTCTCTCTCTCTCTCTCTCTCTCTCTCTCTCTCTCTCTCTCTCTCTCTCTCTCTCTCTCATATGCTGCTCACTACTGGTTGCTTTTAGACTTGTGGTGTAGCAGCAGTGCCATTGTGAGATTTTGGACCAAAAGAACTTTATCCTATGCTCTTTGGTCACAACAGGACTAAATCAGCTGTCACATTAAATGTTCTAAGGCCACAGATAACTCTCATTTGAAGAATTCTTTCCTGATTTTTTAATGTTTGTCATTATCATGATAAATCATATTGTGTAAACCTGCATTTAAGAACCGTCTCAAAATTACCAGATAAGAAAGTGTTGCTATTATCTATTTTTTTTTTGTTGTTTTTGTTGTTGCTGTTATTTTTTGTTACTGATTATTGCTGTGCATGTAAAATAACTTGTGTGGAAATGAAAAAGAAGGTAAAGCAAAGAAGGAAAAAATACCTGCCTAACTTGGTTTAACCATTTACCAAATAAGAGGACTCTGTTACCAGCACAGGCCTCGTACCATGACACCCCTAGTTCTAAGCTGACCTTGCCATACTCCGCCCACAAATATTTTCTTTCGTAGCAAATGGAGTTTTTACTAGTGTTCTGTAAAGCCTGTCCTGCCTCACTACAGTTGCTATGAAGGAACATATTTGTGGATGGAGCATGATGGTCACTCTTTTGGTGTTCGATGTAATGCTACTAAATGATGAGAAATGATGAGAAACTGTTCTGCACTCTATCGTAGTTTTTCATTACAAATGTAATCTCACACAACGTTATTGGGGTTAAAGGTAACCTTTGTATTGCTTGAGGGAAGAGACTGTTCTATTTGCGTGATTAAATCCCAATGTTTTGATCATTATCTTGTCACACAGTCTCTTTTTATTTAGGGCAGAGCTTCCTCTTTACTGTGCTTTGTGTTCTCTAGAGATGCTCTCATGCAGACAGTCACTGGTATTAACTTTACATCAAATAATTTGTGATATCCAAGTTATTTCTCTAAATACTAAACTACCCTGTCCTTTTTTTCTTGTCTTCTGTTCTTGTCTCTGTAGATGGGGTCGAGGATTTGGATTGTTGGGATCCATCTTTGGTAACAACAGTGCAATAAACCAGCCAAACAGTGTCTACGGACTTTTCTTTTATGTCTTTCAGCTGTTATTGGGTAAGAACCGAACCTCATGGCCTTTGAAGGACAGCCAATGGCAAATGTTGCCAAATAGTTAACTTTTTAGGGATGGACTGTGTTCAAGAAGGAGTTGCATAGGCTCCAGGCTGATGCAGGGTCAGCTTTCTCTCTAGCAGTCATGGCATTGACCCGTATAATGCAAGTGAGAATAGTGGCCTTGGGCCAACATAAAATGAAGCAAGTTAAAAGGGGAATTTCGAAAATTGGTGTTGATGTGAAATGTTTCATTGTAGAGAAACATGGCAGCTGTGATTGCATTGGAGCTGATAGGAACCAGGGGTCACAATGTCTACAGCACAAATAAAGCCTGTTTATTTACTATACAACCACTGGTGAACCTACATGTTTCTTTTGAGTTTTATATGTAATGTTAAAAGTGGTAAAATAGTTTGCTTGATTCTTATTTTATTTAGATATGCTTTAATAATTACTGTTTATTTGCTGAATAATTTGCTTTGACATATATAAATAATGTTAAATTATATATTTGTAAGTGCCACAGTCTTTACATATGAATAATGTATACCACAGTATAAGCTTCAGTGGCCTTGTATTCCCATCATGCAGAATGAGAATCATAACCGGTTCCTCTTTTATTGGGAAAGCAATAGACACTGTTTTTCCTCAAGGCTTTGTGATTGACTGGCTGTTCTGGCCTGAAGGGGAAACGCATGGCAGTGGTATCTTTAATATCCTGGCACAGGAAAGATGACCACAGATTGTGTATGTGTGCGCTGGGGAAGCAGCCAGTGGAAGGGTGGAGTGTCATCCAAAGATTTTGGTCTGATGTTATCATGGTGCACTTCATAAAGTTTGTTTACGTTAACATATTTAAAACCCCTCATTTTACAGGGGCCTGTGTGGGGGTCCTTTTTCAGTTCCACTGTTGTAACTACACAATATATCGGTTTTATAGTGACTGAATAATTTATAATACATATTGAATAAAAATACAGTTTAAGGAAATAGTTCAGCCAAATTTCAGATTTACACAGCTGATGTGGTAGATCAGCCAAGGCATGTTCAGTGGCAAGATTTTGCGTCTTTAGTTTTGCACTGCAGCTCCAAGGCTAATGTGGCTAACAAACAATAGAGGTCTGTAAAACGTCAGGGAAAACGTCATGGAAAACGTCATGGAAAACTAAATTTTTGTCTTCTTCTTTTAAATAAGAGTTTCATGTAGTATGTGAACATTTTAAAACATCCCTGCCCCATACAGTCCATATGTGGAAATGTATATACACACACCGATCAGGCATAACATTATGACCATTATGACCTTGTTTCTATGCTTATTGTCCATTTTATCAGCTCCACTTACTGTATACGTGCACTTTGTAGTTCTACAATTGCAGACTGTAGTCCATCTGTTTCTCTGCATACTTTGTTAGCCCCCTTTTACCCTGTTCTTCAGTGGTCAGGACCCCCCATGGACCCTCACAGAGCAGGTACTACTTGGGTGGTTGATCATTCTCAGTAACACTGAGTGGATCAGACACAGCAGTGCTGCAGTGAGCATAGAAACAAGGTCATAATGTTATGCCCGATCGGTGTGTGTGTGTGTGTGTGTGTGTGTGTGTGTGTGTGTGTACTTTTTGTGTATTTTTTTTTTTTCTTTATTTTTCTCAGTTTAAAGTGGTTAAGCCCCACCCATTCATGCTGAAGTTATAAGGAGCGTTTCAGTCCAGACTGCTTTTTGAATGAAGCATAATACATTGCAGCCAATCAGAACAGAGCTAAATAAGCCATAAAGAGAGGCTGGAAAATGGTCATATAGAAATGAATTATGACTGTGGGGACATAGAATCACTCAGTAATACTTATTGAAAAAAATTGAATACAAGAGAAATGTAGGTTATGGGAACTTGGTGTGGTTTGAGCAAGTTGAGAGAAGCATGTATTGATGTAAATGATTTTAGGCCACTTTAGACTTTCTTTACTTATTGGCTAAATCAGTCCTGTAGCTTCAGTGTTAAAGTAAAGGAACAAAGTTCAGACACAAAATTGTTGTTCTGTGTTTTGGCTGGTCGACTGCATTTGGGCGAAGTCTAACAAGAATACAGTGTCCGAAATAAATTTTTTTGCCAAACCACTCCTTTGAGGGTTAATCAGTTGCTTATGATGGAGTTTAACCCTTAGACATCAAGAATAATTATATTGCTAAAGTATTTCTGTTAGACCTACTTCAGTGTTTGTGTTTCAGCCCAGACTGCTTTTACATGAGGCTCAATATGAAGCAGCCAATCAGAACAAAGCTTGCTTATTTATGATTCCTAAAGGCACAGTAACAAAAACAGCCTGTTTAACTGAATGGGAAATTAGTTTTAGTGCATAAAAGAACAGAGTTGTAATAAGTGGACTTCAGGGAAATAAATAGAGTACATAAAAACATATAAGAGATGGGTCCTTTAAAAAACTCCAAATCCATTTGGTATCTCCTGATTTAGAGGATGTTCATAATTTTCTGATTGGCTCATTGATTGGTCAACCTGCATGCAAAACATGCCATGTATTTATTTAATTATTTACCCGTCCCTTCAAGTAATCAGGTCAGCCTCTTCTGTGTGCCTATTCTTGTTATATCCCTCACCCTCTCTTTCACACTTACTCTCTCTCACACGCACACTCTTTGCCTGAGAGCTGTGTGGTGTTTGCTGACTCAACTTCTCCCGCAGGCAGCCTTGGCCAGTTGATCAGCCTCAAAGTTGCGAGACCTCGTGTCTCTCATACACAGCACAGTCATGTCTTGTTCTTCACTGTCCTAGACGGACTAATTTGACGAACAGCAGTTACCTTCGAACCACTGAATACAAGCAGTATGACGGCACATTTTCATAGTTAATATGCCATGTAACTGGGGCCAGTTGAGAAAATGCAGGGGGAAAATGGCTCATATAAATAGTTGCTGTCTGGATGAAATCTCATATCTCCCTTTTTTTTTTTTTAATTTATTTGTTTATTTTTTTTGGCATAATTTAAAGTAGCCGACCAGCCACTACGAAGTGTATAAGTACTTAGAAATTTTTTAGTTTATTTTGTTTTACTAGTAAATTCCATTGAAAGTTAAGAATGTTTTTTTTTTTTTCTTTCTCCTGAAAAATTACCTTTTTGGAGATGCAGTGTTTTGTTCCGGCAGCGTCTATATGGTATGAATTTTAACTTCATAATGTACGCTGATATTAGCACATCTTAGTCGCTGTTTATTAGCAATTCTTCTGTCCCCACAAACTACTACCGTTGTGCTTCATAAATGTTTTTGATTAAATCAAAAGCAGTTAAATCTGCATTCTCAGTTGATTCGTTTCATAATCCTAGTCACTTTTTCAGTCTGACACGCGGACCCTTGTGTCATGAATGAAGCCATGAAGGCAGGTTTAAGTATTGGTCTAAACTGGAAAATAATGAAGTTATTAAAGCTAAATTACAGCCAGGCCCACTCAGTGTGCAGTGTTCAAGCTGCGTCAGTTTTATGCTTCCTGTTGAATGCAGTGCTCTATTTTTGCCTTTAACGGTTATAATCAGTGTGAACTCATTTTATACAGCTTATGGCTGGTAACGAGTCACGGCGTCTGGTGAGTGAAGCTAATCTGCCCATCAGATGTACATATTTAGCTGCAGGGGGGAAAAAAAGATTTGTGGACTGGCTCTCAGGATAAATTCAGAAACGTGACAAGCTGTATGAAGTTGTCTCGACCGGTAGTTTAACTGGCTCAGAGGATGTAATAACGTGTTATGAGTTTATCGTATGTGTATCGTAATCGGGGTACATTGAGGCTGTAAAATCAGGGAGTGGAGTAGGTTTGCCTGATCCGCCTATCACTGTTTTGCCTCACATTGTAGTGGATTGCTAGTTTCCGTGGTCAAACACGAGCGCTGTTTGTGCACTTGCTCAACTGATTGGCTCTTATCTCAGTCCACAAAAGAAGGCTGTTCAAGGTCTGTTATCATATTTTATGCAAAGCATTTGGAGGCCGTAACTCCGGCACGTCCCATAGGAAAACTGTTCAACAGCATTGTCTGAGTGTGCTGTATGTCAACGTTTAGAACGGATACAGTGCATTCCCTTTCCTCTTTCCTCCAGTTACCCCATGATATCTAGGTCTTCAAATTAGAGCTCTAAAACAGACAGTTAGGGATGGAGCCCCATGTTTGACCATCACTGACAATCTGGTGGGTTTTGCCACTCAAGTGTGGCCAAGAACCTCCAGCAGTATCCAGCTACAGCTCCACAGGCAAAGCCCTTGGCTGGGCCAAGCCACTGGCTGGGTGGAAGAAGCTGCAGATTGGGCAAATCAAGCAGTGAACAGTTAGGCTTATGCTTAATTATTTCCCCAACCACATAAGCTACTGGAAGTTGCTTCATCAAAGTAAAAGTGTGGGTTTAGAGAAGATTATGTTCCCAACCATGTTAGTTAGTGAACAGAAGGTCTTTGAAATATTGATACAGCAATGTATTGTTGATAAACTTGTGGTGATGCAGTATTGATAGTGATGGCTGTATTCCTATTTAGTTTAACTTTCACAGACGTTGTTTCTATATGTGCTTTTAACAATCATTTAGAAAACTGTCCAATTATTATTTAGGAAAACGCTGCTCCTCATACAAAATGGGATGCTTTAATGAACATGAAGCTGAGTGCTGCAGAATATACATACAAAGGGACTGCAAATAGCTGTTTTATACTAATTACTATAAAAGTAAAAGTAAAAACAAAATTACTTTAAAAGTACAAAAGAAAGCAAGGTGTCCCAAACTTTTGACAGGCAGAGTATGTCATATATCTGTATCTTGTCACCCTTGTTTCACATCATGGAGTCCTTTGTCTGTCCTTGGTGCTGTGTCGTTACGTGCGTGCGCTATGCCTGTCCCTCTTGCCCGTAATGAAATTTCACAACTATGAATAGCACGGCTCTGCCAGAACATGTAGCGAATGTCCTCCATCCTGGAGCACATGGCTCCTTAAAGGAGAGCAGGGGGTGTGAGGGGGCTGCGTGTGCCTGGCTCAGGGCAGCGCCTAGTAGGTCAAAGGTCCCTTCTTCCCTCACAGCTGCCCTGGGATACTACAAACTAACGATCATTTCCGTAATTAATCTCTAAACTATTGTTGTATGAATCAGCTAATCGACCCATTACGTCTTTCGTTTCCCACTCACTTTGCCTCGTCACAGTGATGTCATAATTAAAACTTCCAAGTGATTATTTTATGGGGGAGATTTATTGCTTTGTCTTTGCATTGCTTATACTGGATTATTGGCTCACCTTTATTTAACCCTTGCCTAATTCAAATGTGTAGATAGATAAAAAACAAATATAATAGAAAAGCTTGCACGGAAACGCTGTACAAACAAAGCATAAACTAATTAATTATGCATCTACATACAACACATAGATTATTATATAAGATAATAGGAGTTTTTCAGTCTGGCAAAGAATGCTGTGCTACATGCAAATGAAACAAATAAACATGAGAAAAACTAGGTTAGATTGTCCAGAAAAAAAGGTTACCAACTTGCCAGTTTGTCTGCAACTAATACCGAAGACTATAATACTCAGACAAGGATATCCAATTTTAAGTTGGCTATGACTTTTTTCCCCCCATAATAATGTTGTCAGCTAGTAATTGCAGCACTACTGTGGAGAGCAGCCTGATTCAGCAGGCTTGTTGGTGCCACTCATGCACTTAAAAGCTCTCTTTCGCTGCAGAAGTGTTTAATTAGGTACTAGACTTGAGTCAGATCACCATGAGCTATCATATTTAACATTAAACATAAACAAGAGGCTATAAATATCAATTTCAGCTATGTTACTGTTACTACAGTCTGCAGTTAAAGAGTTTCAGAAGAATACACATGGCACCAATCTGATACCAGGTATCAGAATCGGGCCGATACCAGCAGAATATGCTGCATATCAGAGGAAAAAAGGAAATCCGATCTGGTCCTCTAACAAATCTATCTTTTGAGTGCTAACATTGTGTGGTGGTGTTAGCTGGGTGTTTCTTCTTGTGGTAGTAGTAGTTTGCATGTCAGTGTGTTTATTTAACCATTTCCAACCTCAGGAGAGATCTGGAACTTTGTTCTTCTTACCAGCTCATATCAACTACTTTTTTGAACATAAGAAATTGTTAAGTTTTTATTGTATTTGTTTATTATTACAAGCAAAAACACATTTTTTGCCAAGATAAATGGTTTTAAATAATGTGGAGTACTGTAAATTTAGTTCTCAAACTGGGGGCCTTGTCTCCCCGGAGAGGCCAGAGAAAATTTTGTTGGTTTATTAGATCTACTTCAACCATTTAAAAAAAAATTGGTCAAAAAAACAATCACAGTTTGCATCCATCCATCATCCACTTAACAAGTTATCTGTGATGTCAAAAAGAAGAGTGCCAGGCCAGATCTATGCGAAGGAAGCTAGAAAAAATGGACAAGGTTCTAGTAAGACATGGTCCTCGTTCATTAAGCACAATTAATGACCGGAAGGGGACAGGGGAGGGGATGGGACAAAGAAGGAAGCAAGTGGTGTGCAGTGGCACTTACTATCCACTATCCCAAACAAATCTGAGAACTGGTCTAGATAACTGTATAAATGACTTACACTGATATAACAATGACGGTAATAACTCTAGACTTCTAAAGGTTAAACAGTATTCTTGAGAGATGGTGTGAGAGTAGATGGTCTTTTTTTGGTCTTTGATGCTAACACCTCCATATGTGTGTGACAGGTATGACGGTGAGCGCGATGGCCGCCCTGATCCTCATGACCACGTCCATCGTGTCAGTGATAGGCTCGCTTTACCTGGCCTACATCCTCTACTTCGTCCTGAAAGACTTCTGCATCATCTGCGTCACCACATATGCACTGAACTTCATTCTGCTCGTCCTCAACTACAAGCGACTGGTGTACTTGAATGAGGCCTGGAAGCAGCAGCTCCAAGCCAAGCAGGACTAAAAACAACAACAAAAACAACAAAAGAAGTGAAAAGTGAAAAAAAAGAAAAAAAAAAACAAGGATAAGTGAAACAAACAAGGAAAGAAATGTGACCTCTGAACGTTTTGACTTGCCACCAGGAGACCTTGCTTCCAAACAAATGTTTATTCTGCCGTATATGTCACAATAAATTACAGAAACAAAAAAACAAAAGAAAATACACGACCTGAAGAAAGTTTAAAATCCTAGGGGCCACAGTTCATTTGCATTGACGAAGGAAGGATTTGAAGCAGGAAAAAAATAAGGTTTTGTCCTTTTTTTTTTCTTTCTTTCTTTTTTCCTTTTTAATTTTTCGTTGTTCTGTTTTTCTCCCCTCGTGAGAGACGGGGCTGAGAGAAGAGGAGTCGGCAGAAACATCATGAACGCACTTGCAGAATAAAATCGACTATGAATGCGGGCAGAGCAGGATGTCCTGTGGAGAAAAATGGGGGGGGGGGGGGAGTGGGGGGAAAGGAACGTGTGAGGAAAAAGCGTAGGACTTTCAAATGGTGCTTACTTGAATCCAGCAGGAAGAAGGTTCCTGTAGACCTGAGCTGTACACTGAACTGAATTATGGGCTTCAATATAAGTGCATGATCATGAGGTTTATGTACGGTTCACAGAAATAATTCCATTAAAACACATAAAAAAAGGGTAAACACCGTTTAAAAAAGACAATAAATTGTAATTTTTTTATGTTTACAGTATGTTTTTTGCTTTCTTTTTTCGAAAGAGGACCACTAATTTTAAAAACATGGGAGAATGCGATACATATGTATGTAGATCAGATTCACTAGATTTACTTTTCTTTCTTTGTTTTGCAGTTCTTTAGCTAGTGTTGAAGTTTCCAGACTAGTGTGTGCATTTAGCATCGAGGGAAGAAGGAAAAAAGAGAGGACAAAGAACAGCAGCAAAACATCGGATGAGGACGAACAAAAGACAAGTAAAGCAGCTTATTTTATGAATCAGAACAGCTTTTTCATCTCGTGTTGTAAATCTGCACCAACCACCGAAAGTTTTTGTTTCTTCTTTAATGCTATTGGGGATGGTTTCGTAGGCACCAAGCAAGACTGCACCAACACTGTTATTTTATTTTTAATTTAATTTTTTAAAATGTAATTTTTTTTGTTATTGAAAATCTATAGTGTCGGGTCAGGTGTTGTCTTTTGAGAAAATTGTCCACCCCACAGTAACGATAAAGCTAACTGTATGCTACTGTAGCGCTGGATGTCCACCCTGCTCCGGACGGCTCATGGGACAAGCAGCCTCTTCTGTACTCTTTTGTAAATAACTCTTGTATGTAGGCATTCCTGATCACACAGTAACATTCACTAGAGAATAATGTGCCTAAAATATCAATTTCTTTTTTTCTCTTTTCTGAATTTCTTTTTTTGTCCTTTACTTGGACTGTGTTGTACTTCACTCTGTTCCTCCTTTCTTAAGTATTATTGTGTTTTCTATTCTAGTTTTTTTTTCTCTTTTTAGCAACAAAAAATTGTCATTTTTTGCTTATAATCTCTTTTTCTTGCCTGTCACTGGCCCTGTCAGTCCCATTGTATAAAAACCCACATGCTTACAACTAGTTCCTGAGCAGTGCGTTTGTAAAGCAGTTGAGAATGTTACTAAATTATCTCTAACCACTTTGCCCACATTTACAACTGCTGTATTACTCCTTTACAGTTTTCTTGGGGATGCTGCTGTCAACAGTCCGTTATAACCCCTACACTACCTGCTGTATAGTCTTGTCTTGGATGTGAAACTACATTACCCATAATTCAGTCACACTCAGACACTACCTCTCAGTATTTCCCCTCGTTGGGTCTCCTGTACCAAGCCCTTAGGCAGAGAGGGCACATGGGTCTCTGTTCCACTGACCCTTTTCCCTGATTGGTGAACGCAGTGTGTCTATTAACGTGGGTGACGTGGGCGCATTATGTTTGGGAGCAAAGTACAGTGTGTGGTGTCATTTGTGTCTGTGCGTATGATTTTGCTGGTACTGTTTAAATGAATGCTTGTTGTTAAAACTTTCTTGTTAATCTGATCTCTAATGGGTGTCACTTTCTGCTGATCCCCCCCTTTCAGCCATGTCATGTGTTACACTCGAAGGTTGAGCGCTTAAAGGAAATACTCCAGCAGTTTTTAACTTAACAGCTACATTGTTAGCATACGGTCGGTTAAAACCAAAATTGTATGGCCGATTCCAATTACAGATTGTTTCCTGCCAAATTGGCTAATGGATGATTTTTAGTTGTTTTTTTTTTGTTATTATTTTAAACCTGAAGCTCACACTATGTACACTAAATGAAAACATGAAACACACTAAGTTTTGGCCCTGTCATCAGGACCTCTCGAGTTTGATCCCACTCTCTGGGTGGGCAGGATGGTGCTAGCCAGTGCAGAACATGAAACACACTGGCCAAATTCACATGTGTTTTAAATTCATAAATGAAAAATCACTTGCCTATTTATTGAGCCAAATAAAGTGTTACATCAAAACACAGTGATTCATAATTATGGTACTAGGCCTTGTATGATCATGAAATTTTAGCTGACGATTGATTGCCACGTAAATAATGGTGATTAAACTATTAAAACTATTGAAGTACAAGCCTAAAGTGGTCAGATTTGCTTCTGAGCTGGTAATATTTGGTGGCTCCCAGAAAAACTTACCGATAAACGCACCCAGTTCATGTTCGCTTTGTTGTGATGTGAACATATGATTGTGAAAACTTTAGAAAATAACTGCAGTCTGCTCAAACTGTTGCAGTCAGGTGATTATGTAATAACTGTGACAGGCCTGTATGCCTATAATGTTTTGGTACTGGTGTAGCAGCAGCGTTCAGGTACAGTGTGAGTGACCTTACTGCCTCACGGTATTTAAATCATAAATTGCAACACATCAGCCAAGATCAAAATAGTAAGCTGACCAATACGTGTTAGAAGCAAACATTTGCTGATCCTGCTCTACCTCTACCACAGATGATAACTTTGACACATTTCCCAGAAAACTCATTGATTTGAAAACACACTGTTAAAACATAAGATTGCCAAAATGGGTTTTTGAACACTTGTGGTTCCCTAAAGAACCTTTCAGTGGATGGTTCTTCAAAGCAGATTCTTCAGTGTCCAACAGATGGTCCACGTTTTTGCAGAAAGCACCCAACACATAGGGGTGGAGTAAAAATATGGACTATCTCAGGGTCTTTGAGAACCAAAAGACACATGTAAGTGTGACAAACCTCCACATAATGTGTTTTATACCAATGAAAGGGTTTTCCTTGTTGAAGCCAAGAACGCTTTAGAAATCTGTATCTTTAAGAGTCCATAATTGAAGCCATTGGAAAAGTCAGAGGGGTTTTCTGTTCTAAGTAGGTAAATTATTGTCTGTGGTAATTTTACCAGTTGCAGCAGAATGAGATTAAAATGCTGGAGTATTCCTTTAAACTATCAACTTTCTACCACTATCATGAGAGGAAGATGCTAGTTTCCACCACAAGGCCAGTTTTCTGTCAGAACAAGTTTATCAGCCATGGCACTAGATACCTTTGAAGCGTTTTGAGCAGTTATTGTGTGTATTGCCTACATGGCAACAGTTTAGCTTAATGCAGCAACTCGAGCAATGGTGTAACACAGGCTGTTCATTACAAAATTAACATGAAAACGCAGATTGTTCTTAATACAGATCAGCTACGCTCACTGAATGGGTCATTAGTTTACTTCAGTAACAGTGGCCCAAGTGTCAGGTATCTCCTGTGCTAGTCAGTGTAATGTATTGCTTTTGCAAACAAGAAATAGGATACCTAGACTAGCTCCACTGATAAGGTTTTTGTGAAACAGGACCTGTGATGGCTTCTGGTTTTGCTGATCTTTTCTGGTCTTTGTCGTATCTAATAGGTGTTTTAACATCCATGAAAAACAGTCCTTATCATCCCAGCTGCTGGTCATTTTACCATCTTAGCAGTTCCTTAGACATGTTCCAGCTGAGCTACAGAGTTCCAGCTGAGTGTAAAGAAGTTTGTCTACTTGAATTGAGTGTGGTCAACACTGCGTAGCTGCCCAGAGTTGTATGGTTTGAGTTTATGCTAGCCAATGCCCAGCTTATATCTTAGTGAGCATCGTTTCTGCTGTTTCCAACTGAAGGGGGTCTGAAGCTCTTCAAATATAAACTTCATCTTTAGTCTTCATCATTTACACCCATTTCTCACGATGTGAAAAAACAGAACACCCCAAAAAAGATGAAGGAAAAGAACAAGATCGCATCAGATTCATATTCCACTTAAAGTGCCTTCTGTTCGTCCACTGGGCCTTCAGCAGATCAGACATAACAGAGCGGCCTCCACTTATGCAAAGAGAGGCCTCTGTTATTAGGACGCCTGCCTGCCTTTCTGAGGGCCAGTTAAGAAAGAGAATGGTGACCCCTTGACATCTGCAATGTTATGTTTCATTTGGATGCTGTGGGTCATTCACCCTACCATTTAAAACCATGTACAGTGCACCCACAGCCACTGATCTCCCAAACAACACGGTTACTTTTGTACATTTTTTTTGAAAACCCCCTGATTCTTTTGTTTTTGACTGTTTAGAATTGGGCCTATTTTATTTCTGCACCATGTCCATGTTTGTGAGGCATCTCCGAGTGGGAGCGCTGATCTAGGATAAGCTACCTCCTGTCCGTGTATTGTATTTGTAAGGATGTGATGAGCTAAAACTGATCCTAGACCAGCGCTTTTAATTTGAAGAAGTTTGAGAAATGCAGCCCTGTATCTGTGACAGAATCCGAGATTGTTAAGATTAGAAAGTTACGTTTTCTGCCCCCTCCCCCTCCCCCTCCCCCTCCTGATTGTGACTAGTGAGTTCTACTCTTTTTAATTTCCTGATGTAACTGATGGGGGCACGTTATGAGCCCTGATTAGATGTATAGACTGTTAACATTCTAGCATATTTTAGTAGATAAAGAAACAATCCATCACGAAAATGGATGTCGATGGATGGATCGGGGGATTCCATGCGTCAGTGTCTAATTCTTTTCGGGGGCTAAAAAAAAAAACGAAAAGGGGGTATTTTTTGTGGAGGAAAAACTGTGTCTAGGTTTGCTTCTGTATTTGCCAAATATACGTTTAATTAAAAAAAGGAAAAAGCTGTATTTTCTTACATGGAAAAAGTGTTACAAGGAATGGTACAACACCACAGGAATACGTCCGGTCAAAATTCTCATCATTTCAAAAATGTCTGGAAACCAGCCGGAGCACATCTAACAACACCGTGAGCAGTACAAACCATGTCATTGTTGTGTGGAATTGGTCTACCATTAAAACATTCCCTCAGACATGGCTTCTCCTTTGACTGCTTCCAACACTGGTGACAAGAAGACTTTATGTTTTTATTTATTTATGAATAAATCAGGAAACAGCTTCCACTGCCCATTTTAAAATGACCTTTTTACCCAAACATCTGCTAAGGTTCATCCAGGTCACTGAATTGTCTTGTGGAAATAAGTCAAGCGGAATGAATTTATAATCTTGAAAAGGTCCAGTGACCTTCACCTGCTAATACCTTACACTCAAACATGCTAACATTGCTAACAGTGAATGAAAATTGGCCAGGACTAGTTTTGAAAAATCAAGAGTCCATTCATTCGAACTGCTGACACCACACATTTCACCTAGTAATGCTAACTGCTAACAGAGAATAAAAGCCAGTGATTACAAAGGTGGACAGTATGGCAAAAATATATCATGAAGCTTCAAGAATTTCGCATGATACATATTTTTTTTTCAGATATCTGATCAGTTGGAACTGAGAAAAAAGTACCAGTAGTGCTGCTATATTTAAAAAAGTACTATCAAAAACTGAATATAATATATATATTCAGTATTTAACATACTGTGTTGTACTAAATTCAGTTAAACAGGACTAGCTTTGCTCTTATAATGAAACTCTAAAATTCAGGTCCAGAAAGTAAAAATCCTTCCCAGGATTTTGTTCCAACGGCATGGCTTCTCTAGTTAGATCAAACCACCAGCAGAGCTGTCCAGGCCGTTGGAACAAAATCCTGGGAAGGATTTTTACTTTCTGGACCTGAATTTTAGACCTCGGCTCATAGAAAACTGACCAACTGCCTGTTTACTGGACCTGAATTTAACACCTCTGTCTATGAGTACTGACTATATCCACAATATGTTCAGAAAAGAATACAATTTATCACAATAACGATATATATATATAGTCATATTGCCCAGTCCTATCTTTTATATTTACCTTTAAAAATCAATATTGCATCATAAGTACAGGCACCTCAACAGGCTACTCAGCATTTCAACCCAACATGTTAACACTGCTAAATGCTAACACGTAGTAATGTAGCAAGACTCTGGCAATAAGCCTTTTTGGATAAAGTGTCAACCTGAAATCAAAACTGACTTTTTTTTAACGATGCTAGTTCATGTCTCTGGGCATATACTTCATGATATTTAAAATTCTTTAATAAAACTACTGTGACTTTTGTCTGCATCCAAAACATCTTTTGAGTTGTGATTAGTAACTCTGCAGCAGCATGTGGGGGAAAAATAATATTAATATATCATATTTCACCTACCTGTCCCACCATAAGAAAATGCACAGCAAGCTCCATTTCCCTTGAAAATGTGTCATGGTATGGAAGGAAAATGTGATGTGCTTTGCAATTCACAACTAGACATTTCACCCAAGTATGCTAACACTGCTAACAGAGCATGAAAACTAGATTCAGTGAAACATAAATCTTGAAAAAAAAAAAAAATCAAGATTTTAATCACAATCCCTGCTATCTTGACTTACTACTACTAGACATGTCACCTACACATGCTAACATTTAACGTTCCCCTACTCCAGCATGCATTCTAGCATTTTTGGGTAAAGTGTTCATTTTAAACTGTCTTAGTTCTGCCATAAATAACTACAGGCAAATCAATAATGGACAAAGTTCTTCAAACTACTGGTAAGAATCAGCTGTTTGGTAGCAGCAACTGAGGTGCTTGCAGCACTTGTTTTGGGTTAATACTCAACAGCTAAAACCAGAGTGCAGGTTTTTTTTTTATACATAAGAATTTGACCTTTATTGAAAGAACAAAAGCTGCAATCAATTGTAAAAATCCATTTTGTAGCAGTTTTGACCATCATATAGAAAAGGAACACACTACATATATCCAGATAAGATTGAAGCAAAGGTAACAAACAAATACACACAACCTGTTGAGAGCGGCATAAAGCTTGTGTTACAGTGTGTAGTAAAACCGATCACGATGTAAGGCCCCTGTACGGTTGGATTTCAGAAGACCAAACGCAACCTACTGGCAGTTGGACTAGTCATTATTGAAAGTTTATAAAACCTGAAAGTACAAACACAAACAGCAGCGTCAGATAGTTGGTAGGCCTGCTGGTGGTAAAACCTCAAAGGCTGATTGTTTCCTGCAACATATCTGATATTTGTCTGTAAACACCAAACACTTCTAACCACATCTTTTTAATTCTGATGTGGATCACACTCAGAGTCACGAATGCAGTCTTTTTTGGAAAATGGTCATATATGAATAGATGGTCTGCTAACAGATCCAGGCCCAGTTTCCAAAACTTTCTCAGTGGTAAAATGTAAGACCAATCAAAGCAATACTCCCCAGTCATATGATCTTAGTTCAGTCACGCTTGGAGGAAACCATGCATTAGTCAGTTAAGAGAAGTGAAAAATAGAACAGTCTCAAACAGAAACTTCTCCAAGTTCTCCAGTCAAAAAGTATAGTAAGTAATTAACAGCATAATTGCACCAAATGCTTGGAGATAGACACCACAGGCAGTGCGCCTCAACTGGTTAGACTGGAATAAGAAGCAGCAGGTAATGAATGTGTGAGAAAAGTTGAAATAGAAAAGAGAATCGCATGAACTCAGTGAATGAGGGCAAAATGTATTAGTCAAAGTGGGTTTTTCTACATACTGTCATACTTAGCATGACAGTAAATAGGAAACAGAAGCTTCATCTCCTTCACTGTTCTGGTGACAAGTTGAACTTTCACTGAACTAACATCTTTATCTGTTCAACTATCTTATGTACGTACAATATACAGTCATATCCCAAAGTTTGGGAGCCCCAGTCAAAGTGAAAATGAGCATATTTTAACACAATAACTGTTTTTGCTAATTTAACATTTTATGGCACATTTTAGATTTTTGTGGTTGCATTTTTGGCAAATAAAACAAAATTGCGCACTATAAATTGTGTAGAGGATGTGTAAGCTTATTTTTCAAGCAACAAAACACAGTTTGACCAGTGTGTTCAATTATGCATGTCCAAAAGTCTCCAGACACCTCTTCTAATTGGTTAATTCAGCCACCCATTGCTGACACAGGCCACCATGCCCAATATAAAGCATCAGCTAGAGGGGTGTTAATTCCCTTTTGCATTAGGCTGTGGAGTAGTGGAACTGCATGCTTTGGAGTGATGGAGCTCCATCCAACTCCTCTAGGATGAGGTGGGGTGATCCAGAACTAATCATCCAACATTAGTGACCTCACCTGACCACCTGATCTCACTAATGCTCTGAATACAATCAAATCCTCACAGCAATGTTCCACCACCCAGTGCCTTCCAAGAAGAGTAGAGGCTGTTACTGCAGCAACTCCCTAATAATGACCTTGATTTCAGAAGAAAACTGTTGGAGTAGGTGTCTGCAAACTTTTGGACATACAGAGTATCTGTTCATGTTATATGTTTTAAAGAAGATTTGTCGTTCTAAGCTGAGTTCTGGGTTAGAATACGCAGCAATAGTGACTGGAATGCTGGAGATGTTTGGAATGTGATGAAAACAAAGGGCAGCTTGAAATGCTTATTATAGAATAGAGGACAGAACAGGCAAGCTCCATCATGCTCACACAACAAAAACCAAGACAACAACACGGCTCACAGGCTGCATACTAATCCGTGTGAGTGCCCTGAACGCTGACCTCAGAACAGTTTCCCCTTGTAAACAAGGAAAATGGAACCATTATGCAAAAACAGGCAAAGCTGGTCTCAGATCCGTGTGAAAAGGCAAGCGTCATCAACTATTTTACAGTTCACTTATATGCCATTGTTATAGAAAGGTCATCGCAACTGGGGACTCTGAATTCATTTAAAAAGGCTGATTGAACCAATTTTCCTAGATGAATTACTAAAGGGCAGTGAACTGTAAGACAAGCACATGGTCTACCTTTATAAAATCAGTTCCCTCTTAATGACACGCACAAAGAGCACCTGGATAATGTGGCACGTTCAAATAAACAGCCCTAATGAGTGCTACTAGTGTTGTTACCCTCAACACAACACACACACACACACACCAACACGCATACAGCATTCTAGCAGTACATTTGATTTTGTGCTATTGTGCACTTTAAAAGATGCTCCCTGAATTAAAAACAATCAGATGAAGCAGCAGAAAGTGCCACTTGAAATCTGGCCATTAACTGATTGACATAAGGCACGATTTTGACTTCATAAACATGGTCAATTTTCACTGTTCATATTTCTAGTCCCCCAGGCGAATGCACACACCCAGAGGTAATGAAGCGGCAGGAGCAGTGGGCTCACTGGCAGGGGTACTTGGCCCATGTGGGCAGGACACCTGTCTCATTGGCAATGGTCCAGTAGCGCTCTCTCAGGAGGAAGGCAGCCGATTTGGGCTGCCGCTGACGAGTGAACATGCCCTTCTTGTTTCCCACCACACGAGTGATGCCTACAGAGACACAGAGAGAGAATTACAGACTTAAATCGTACTTAATCGTCTTCAGAGAAGGCCTATCAATTTCTGTGAAATAATTCTTAGTTCTTTTTTGTTTAATCATCATGCTTGTTGTATTTACTGTACAACTACATAAATATTGTAGTAATTCTCTTATTTCATTGCCAAGTTCTGTTTGGAAATAAAAGGGTTAAATTCTTAAAAAGCCTAATAGAAAATGATCCAATCAGAATTTTTTTTTAAGTAGATAAAGCTCTCTCATTGGTTAGAACTTCAGGAGCTGAACAGAAGGCCTTGTGCATCAAATTAACTACCAACATAATCAGGAAGTGACAGTAACCAATCATAGTTCCTAATGGGTGGGACCAATTTTGGGTAACCAAAAAGGTTACACTTATTTAGATGGTCCCCATCTAGATTATGTATGAATGCTTTAATTGTTAATCAACTGATTTTCACCTGATTGTTTATTATCAGCAGCTTTAGACTAAGGTTTAAGACAAGGATTAGGTTTAGGTTTTAAATTAAAGGTTAAGGTCAGGGTTAGATTCAACTTCCACTTCAATGTAATGACAAAATGAGTCAAGCAGCCATCTGCAAGGTCCAAGATGACTTTGGTGACTTCATCTTTGTTTGGTGCATAACGGACTTACAAACAAATTCTGTTTTCTTTTTGGACAAATTATTGGTAATGTACAACTTGTAAGTCAGTTAGATTGGGTGCCTGCAAATTCCAAACTTAATGAGCTGTTATTGTAAATTTGTCTCTAACTTCTAAATGCTGCAGTAAAATGACTTCATATTTGGTTTGTAAATAGTCTGATAGACTTTAAACAAAAATATAATGCTTTTTCATCTACATATTCATAATGGTCATTTTATAATATGTTGAACTTGGTTCATTATTAAATTAGATGGGGTGCAAATTACTAACTTAATGAACTGATTTGGTAATTTTGGTGACTGTCAATTACTTTAAAATGCTGCCATAAAATTACTTTATATTCAGTATGTGCGTAGTCTGATAGGCATTAAATGAAAATCTATTGATTACCAATGGATTGGTCTATTGAGGCAGCAGAAGAATAAGAAAAATCCTAACGATCACAAAAGAGTTCCAGCACTTTGTGCTTGGACCCCTATTTAGCAACAAGGAGAGTACTGGATGTTTTACTATCACTATAGAGAACGTGTTTAAATATAATTTATTTGTGAGTGTGTGTGTGTGTGTGTGTGTATTTAAAAGAAGGTTTTGAAAATAGTCTTGTTGAAGAATCGAGTAAACGGTATCAATGTCAAGTTATCAATATTGGAACTGAAAACATTTGAATGATACCAGCCCTAGATAAATTTGTCAACCTACACTAAATTAATGTGGGACCAATAAACAAAGTCATATCTTGCATATTGCAGACATATCAATGAACTATTAATTATGCTAAGCTACATTTTTATTTGATCTTTTGATATTCTTTACATCACATATTATACAATGTAGCCTAGAATGTTTTTTTTCCCCATCAGAAATTTTTAGTACTTTGTTTTAAAAAATTGCATTATGATGAAGACTATGTAAAAGCCTGAGTAAGACACTTTGTGCATTGATACAGAATCAGACAATCGCAATGCTAATGTATGCCTTCTGCAATGACCTGAGACCAAGACTACTAAGTGGACACCCTGAAATCTCCCATTGTAACAGAGACTAAACAGCACACAAGAGATGTTCAAGAGATGTTTTATGCTTGGTTGGACTTCCTGCACACCAGAGGGAGTTTGACAGCCCTGTTTTAGAGCTGCTTTATGTTTAGAACATATTGGGCCAGTTTCCCAGAACCAGATTAATGCTAAGCCTACTCTAAAAAGAAGTGACAATGGTGGTTCTCCATTGAGGCTTAAATATATATATATATATATATTATATATATATATATATATATATAAAATTAAATGTATTAATTAATCAACAAACATGACTTTAGATGAAAACGCACATGGCAGACGTGTGCTAGGCTAACAATTTAAGAATTGGTAGCCTTAAATTGGGATAGTTTTTGCAATCAGGAAAGGTGAACTAGCCTCAGAATCCTGATTATCCTATAGTCCAAGCCAGGTATTTATTTGTGTCCATCCTCTGTTTAGTCTCCAACGAAAAGATTTAGCTGCTACCAAGCTAGGAAGGCTAATCCAATGTCATTACACAGCTCAACACGCTTAGAGGAGAACACTAACTGCCAAAGAGATGCCTGATGGCAAACATCATACTGAGTGACTGGGTAGAGGGAAGATCACCCACCCAGAGGCCAATTATGCCCTCTTGGTCATGGATGTCTGTGGCATCACTAGGGATCAAACTCACAATCCCTTATGATGGGGCCAATGAGCCTTTGGCACTAACGGATCTGACTGCATGCCTAAACCAATGCCTGTTCATATGAAGAAAGTGATGATTCCTTAATGGGAAGTAAAACAGCTGCTCCTGAATACATCCCTGCTGACAGACAATATGAAGTGTATTTATGTGGGGTCTTTCCCCCTTTAGTGATATGTGAGAAGCACACAAACACAGTACTTATCCACACCATCCAGATATGGTAGCTAATTGTGGAATATCTGGCAACATGCTGCATGTGCTTGAGAGAGTGCACAAGTTATAATGGCACGGTAACTACATAAGGTGGAATACCAATCGGACCACAGGCTCTGTGTGCCTGTGTATGTGTGCATATTAGAGTACATTGTATAGATGTCTACAGTCCTATTTTAAGATTCTGACATAGCTGACAGAAGGACCTTCTGTTGTGTAACCAGCCTGTGTCTAAACAGACCTACCATTAATACTGTACATGAGTTCTGTACTAATTCAGTACCTACTTACCTTCAACTAAACCCTGTAGGGCAATCCTTCCAAAACTTTTTATTTGAAAGTCATTCAGAGTACTTTGATGTGAAATGGCTCATTGTGGAGAAACTTACAGACTCAGATTTTCTTTACAGTGACATAAATATCTACACATCAAAAGATATTAACAGGTGTTTTACTCAATGGTTCAAGAGTTTTATCAAGTCAGCAATGTGAATGCTAGTTTTGAAAGACTTTCCTCACTGCACATCTATTCCAATTTCATATGATGTCAGAGCATTACAGTATCGTTATTGGTAGTATAGGTAGTTTGTAATGAGACTCTGCCGACTCCACCAATCATCACAAACAGAAGCTGAGTCTTCACATACAGAAGCTGAGTCTTCAGGTGGGACAAAAATTACATTTGTAAAAGCCTATAGTGCTATTAACATTGAGATGGTTTTCATGTGCAAACAGTCCTCATGGACTCCCAGTGAAGCATAACGTCCTGGCGGGACTCAAATGACATTGTAAAAGCCTGTGGTCCGATAAACGTTGATCTTTGCTCCACTAAAACAGAGTGTATTTGAATCTGCCATCAACTCATATTAAAGCCAGGCTTCAATAGGGTTCTATTGGACATGCTTTCACTGGCTTCCACAAACAGAATCATGCAGACTATACTGTCCTTTACTGGCCTCTTCTGGACGCTCGTTTAATGTCCAAGCATGATTGCATCAACTGTTTAGGATGTTTTCTGAACAATTCATGATGTTCCTGTATATACATACACAGTATTTTTGTTTAAATACTAAATAATTTCACATCAAACCATTCTGAATGACTTTGTTTACATCTACACCATTAAATTTAGAAAAGATTTAGAGAGTTTAAAGTGATACTTATTTGATCTTTCTGGGAAATTCAATCCAGGACAGTTTCTAAGCAGATAAAGCCTAGTCCTTATACATTCATTAGAGTATCCCCAATGATAATTTAGTCCCTGACTAGGCTTAATCTGCACTCAGCAAATCAGGCCAGTGATATTTAAAGCTGGCTTTGTATCAATAAGTAGTTCATGTACAGTAGCACACATAGCTTCCTCTACTAAGCTTATTACAGCTCTATGGCAGCATGAAGCAGCAACTATAGACCTGAATTTAGTAACAGGTGCATTAAAAAAGAAAATACAAGTACACATATCTGACCCTGAGAAGTCATGAAGTCAGCAAAGTTCCAGATGAGCTCTCCCACGACAAACTCCTTCCTCTTCTGGTCAAACACTTTGTGGTAGCTCTGCAGGACTCTCTTCTGGTACTCCTCAGTGAACATCATCGGCGGATCCTGCATGAAAACCGAAGGGTATATAATTTAACACACTAAAAATGTATGCTTGACATTGATAATTTCTGGACAGATAATTGTTGATAAATAACACATTATTACAATGAATAACAGGAGGAGTAACTGATAATGTTTACCTTTTTGCATTTTAAGACATTTTGCATTTTTAAGTTCATACTATAACAGTCATAAGATTTGGGTGCCCCTGTTCAAATTACGCTTTGTTAATTTTCTAAGCAAAAATAAGTTTTAACACATCTTCCACAGAGAACACACTTCTGCACATTTAATGCACATTTACTGTTTCCTAATCAGAAAGTCTAATTTGTCAGACCACAGTACATGCTTCCAGTGTGCATCAATTTATTTGAAACTAACTTTAGCCCAGAGAAGTTGGCAGCATTTCTGGACGTTTTTGACACATGGTGGCAAGCTATCTGGGTAATTTTTTCAACTCCTGCCCTAACTTGAAAAGGGCCTATGTTCTAACTGCAACAAGGATGCTTGTATCCACTCCAGAATACTGAATATTCATCCGACATCTCCAAGAAGCACAAACTTTGCCTTCTTTCAGAGTTTTATTTGATGAACTTTCTCTTTAACACTCAGTCTGTGCTTCAGTGTTCAGCTAACAGGTTGATAACCTTAGGAAAAAATACAATACAAATTTACCAATAAGCTCACAATTACAAATTACAGTCGAATTGAATTACTGTGCAACACTGCTAGTGGCTAGAATCAGTCCTACCAGTGCCATTTTGCAGTTAAACAATGAGCTGAAGCATCCTTCTTCACACCGCAGTTTCCCCCTTTTTCTCCTCTTTGCTCTCTCAGCAGCACTTGTCGTGCCACAAGCCACTACACAGCTTCGTCCTGCTTTGGAACTGCACTTTTCACATGTGAAAGAGTTCTTTTTTCACGCTTGGGTTTGCTGCGGTATTTTCCAATGCGGATACAGCACGTTGCCTTTTTTTGTCTTCTTTTCTTTTCCCCCGCAAATGGTTGTGAGAGTTACGTCTTCACAGAGATCACCTGACCATATTTTTTTTTCCTTCTATAAGGAAGATCTCACTTGGTAAAACAACCAAACATTAAACTCAAATTAAGTAGAAATATCGCTTCACTTTCATATAATGTAGCATAAATATAGTTTCACTTTCAACTGAGTCTGTTGTACAGCTTTGGTTTTGACTTCACACACGGCTTCTGCTGTGAATAGTAAAGTCTTTGTGGATGCAGAGATTAACTCATCAACAGTTTGTCAAAGTACTAGTGTGCATTTATGGTGATCCCCATTATAAAAGCATGACAGGTTTTAATGCACGGAGGGATCAAATGAAGGCATTCCGTTGTGTTTTTTCAGCCTCGCCCTTTACACCCTGTAAGCAGAGATTTCTTCGACTTTTCCGGAACTGAGATTTGTAACAGATCAAAGTACAAAAAAAAATGGACATTACACAGTGAAAAAAAGACAATAAACCAGTTGGCCTACAGAATTTTAAATCACACAAGAGCTGAAAGCCAATACAGGCCAACAAAGCAACTTAAAAAGAAAATTCTTCCTAATAAGCTCTTCACAGCTTAGAGCCAGGCGCACTTACATTGTGTAGGCCAGGCACAGCGTCCGCCCCATACTCGCTCTGTATGATGGGCTTCTGGTACTTTCCGTACCAGTTATCAAATTGGGTATTGAGCTGGATGGGGATGACCTCTAGGTGGCCAGGGTCATGGTACCAGGAGAAATAGCTGTTCACGCAGATAACATCCACATAGGGAGCCTAAGAAAAACAACCATCATTAAGCTGTAGTGTACAATTCAAACAGCATGTTTAGATTAATGTATTGCAACCGAAAACATTAGAAAGCAATTGTGAAATTTCATTTTCAAACTTATTTGTTCTGATATACTATATGACATTACTGTGCAACCTCTGGTCTGCAGCTCTGGAGCACATTTATCATTCTTCTATAGTAGACAAGGTGTTAAAAATTTTACTTTTTCCAGAATACTTGGAACAAGCTATTTAAAGAAACAGTTTAATATTTGTAGACTGAACAAACTGGATACAGTCTGATAAAAACATTTCTGGATATATATTAACCCAAACAAGGCTAGAGCCCCTTATTTCTGGGTAGCCAGATCAATAAGCTTATCAAGGCCACAGAGTTTTATACTGAATTCCTAACATTGTCAAGGTCACTACTGGCATTCCACTCACAAAGACATCTACTTTGATAAAAAATGTTTAAATATGCCCTTGGTAAACTCATACAGCTGGCATGAGGAAGTGAACAAATAATCTGACCAGCAAAACCAGTGCTACTAGAAGAAGATTCCCAACGGATGCCAGGGTGGATAGAAATTCACTGCACAGTGAAAGAAAGCTAAATTTTATTCGTGCTTAAGCCATGACTGTGGCATATTTGTGGAAAGCGGACAGTACACAGCATATCTGCTTTCTGAAATTCTGCCCTACACAGCAAAGATAATGCAAGATAATTAATGTTAAACATTTTTCAAACAAATGTATTCAGAGTAAGTTTACTCTTATTATAGGAATGGCTCACCAACAAATTAAACTGAATTTTCTCCTTAACCCAGATATAGTCAAGTTTGCTTCTTCAGTTTAGTGCTGGAGCTACAAAACTAATATAATAGAAATCTAGGTCATTAAAAGATATTCAGTGATAAAGACCTCTTTTATCTACTAGCAACATTAGCATCCTAGGGATAATGGAAAACTTTAGAAGCAAACCTCCGACACCAAACATGTCTTGGCTGATTGTCTATATTTGGGGGTAAGAGAAAAACTGTGTGAATTAGATTTTTTGGTGAAGGGTTGATCAGAAAACTGTATTAAGATGAAATCTTTACAGTTTTCCTACTTATCCTAAATGTAATTGATCATTCAAGACAAGTTTGGTGTTAAAAGGTTGCTTCTTTAGATTGGTACTGGAGCTACAAAGCTAAAGTAGCTAATAAGCAATGGAAACATACTGCACTAGCTAGCATTGTGCAAACTGCATGGCTAACAACACACACTTGCGTTAAACTTAAGTCATTTCAAATAGACTTACTTAAGCATTTCTAACACTGCATGACATATCTCTAAAATTAAAAATCAGGCATTAAAAATCTTCGTCTACTCTCATCCAGTTTAAAGACTAGGAAAGACCCCCTTATGATGATGTAGGGGGAACTTTTTAAAACCTACATCTGCTTTGAGGTGGATAGTTTTCTTGTTTTAAGTAAGCAAGACAAATAGCTAACAATAATGCTAGGAAGTTATGATGTATGCAGTTATCATGTATGTTTAGCCTCTAAATCAGTGGCTAGGCCAGAAGTAAGGATTTTTTAATTACAGTGGGGAGCGGTTGTGTTTGCATAATGCCTGCTGGGCATTGTAGTAAGAGAACAGAAAAAATGGACACAAAATCATAAATTCTTATAAACTGATGAGGCTGAGGGTTGCAGGGCTCTACTACAAAATATTACATAACACAGAAAATAGATTAGTAAATGCTAGTTTTATGCTGGAGTGCTCCTTTAAGTGAATGATTTTATGATGACTTACACATGCAGTTTGCAACTTTCTAACTGGTTGCAGTCAGCTTGTTATTCATTCCAGCACAAAACTCCCAAACAGTCTTAGCTGATCAACTACATTTAGGGGTAAGGGGGGAAATTTGTGTAAAGTTGACTATTGGCCAAGGCATTGCTTTAAGTATTATAATGACAACAACGATGAGCAACTCACCCCTAGGTCTTTGGCGTAGTTAGTGTCTGTAATAAAGGTCACAGGGCGCGTTGAATCCAGAGATTTTGTGTGAGCTACCAGTTGCCTGCAAATAAAGTCACAAGTCAAGTTCACTGTGGCCCGTTGCAAGATGCTTAGAAAAGCATAGGACCAGCAATGAAAAGACAAACCTAACCTAGAACAAGATTTTAAATAGAGAACACCCATTTAGTCCAGTCCATAAATATTTGAATGTATGGAGTTTGTTATTTTATCTGTCTACCAGAGCATCCTGGAGTTAGAATTAAATACCGAATATGAGCCAAGTATAGCTTTCAGCTTTAGTTCGGGAGTATTTACATCCAAATCAGGTGAACGGTGCAGGAATTCTTATGCATAACCCCCCCATTTTACATTAGGGGCTCAAAAGTAATAGGACAACTGGCTGCTCGGCTGTTCAGTGGCCAAGGTGTGTGTGATCGTCCTTCATCATTTCATTTACAAATAAGCACATAAAAAGGTCTTTTGTTAACTCTCAATAGATTTCACTACAAATGAAAGCCATCATTAGGCTAAAAAAAATCAAAGCAAAAAATTCAGGTTTGGCCATATGAACTATTTAGCCTATTCTCAAAAAGAAAGAATGCACTGGTGAGCTCAGAAACACCAAATGCCTTGGAAAACTATGGAAAACAACTGAAGAAACAACATAAAAACCTTCAAAGCAGTTGTGATCTAGAACACCCTCCAGGAGGTTGGTGTATTCGGGTGAAAATCAACAATCAAACGAAGACTTTACCAGAGTAAATACAGAGGGTTCACCACAAGATGTAAACCATTGTCTCAAAAACAGAGAGACCAGTTTAGAATTTGCCATAAAACATCTAAAAAAAATCCTGTACCGTTCTGAAACAACATCTTATGGACAGGGCAGACAAAGATCAACTTGTACCAGAATGAAGGGAAAAGAAGACTTTGAGGAAGAGAAGGAACTGCTCATGATTCAAAGCATCGCCCCTCAACAGATGAGCATGGTGGAGGTAGTGTTATGCCATAGGCATGTGTGGCCGCTAATGGAACTGGTTCCCTTCTATTTCTTTATGATGTGACAAGTGACTGCTGAAAAGCAGCAGGATAAATTCTGTAGTATATAGGGTCATGTTATCTGCTCAGATTCAGCCAAATGCTTCAAAATTAATTGAACGGCACTTAACGATGCAGACAGATAATGACCTGAAGCATACAGCAAAGGCAATCCAAGACTTTTTTAAGGCAAAGAAGTGGAATGTTCTGCAATGGCCAAATCAATCACCTAACCTCCGTTTAATCAAGCAGTGATTTCACTTATTGAAAGCAAAACTGAAGGCAAAATGCCCCAGAAAAAGCAGTAACAGGAAACAGCTCCAGTAAAGACCTGGCAGCGCAACAACAGGGAAGAAATCCATGGTCTGGGTTCCAGACCACAGTCAGTCATTGACCCCAAAAAAGAAGGGGGGGGGGTGCTATGTATTAAACTGGTTGTAATTCTTACACCATTTGGATGTAAGTCCCCTGAAATTAAAGCTGAAAGTATGCACTTTAAGTCAACGTCCAAATATTTATGGACCTCCTTGAATGTGAATAGTTTTCTATGACAAATTTCAAACTTATTAGACATATAATGTCTAAACATCACAGATTCAGAGAAGAGGTAATGGACGTAATTACTATATGAATCCATTGACATTTTTCCTAAAATTGGCCCTTGTAAGTAATGAATAGTGCTCCTCTGACTCTGACCAAAAGAGACACAGAACATCAGCATGGTGTTAAATTGCTTATTAAGCAGTTTCTCATGCTAGCCCTAACAACTGAAACTGAAAACCTGTTATTCGAAAAGACATGCATATTTGTAGTGATCATGGCTAATTGGGGCTTTAGATGTCATGCTAATGAAGTCTGAAAGGCCGCTCATGTCTGCTGTATCCGTGTAAGAGAAGATTCCAGTTTGGTGACCCGTGACTGCACTGGTATTTAGGTTCCACTTGTTTAGTGTTCTTAGTGAATGAGAGGCTTCAGGTGTGCTCCTCTCCCTTGAATGCATTCCTACAGTCACTCATCCTGAACAAGCCCAGACCTACACATACCTTCCTGCATCTGACTTACTACTAGCCCAACAAAACAACATGTTCACGTCCATATAAAACAAGACTAACAATTTATATTAGACAAAAGTTTTAGTTTTATCAACTTTCACTATATGGCTAAAAGTATATGGACACTCCTCCTAATGATTAAGTTCAGGTTTTTCAGTTACACCCACAGCTAACAGGTTTGTGAGATCAAAGACATTGCCATGCAATCTGCATAGACAAACACTGGCAGCAGAATGAGTCATGCTAAAGAACTCAGTGACTTTAAATATGGCACAGTCATAGGATGCCACCTTTGCCATAAGTCAGTTCATGAAATTTCTGCCCTGCCCTGGTCAACTTTAAGTGCTATTACTGTACAATGAAAGCAACTTAACCATGAAGCAGTATATTTACACAAACTCTAAGAACTGAATGGCACAGCGTGTAAAAAATTGCCTGTCCTCTGCTGCATTACTCACAACATAGCCAGGAAGTGCCTCTGGAATCAACATCATTGCAAGAACTATGCGTCTGCAGCTTCATGAATTGGGCTTCCATGGCTGAGCAGCTGCATACAAGTCTAAGATACCAAGCATTGGCTGGAGTGGTGTAAAGTATGTTGCCACTGGACTCTGAAGCAGTGGAAACATGTTCTCTGGAGTGATGAATCACACTTCATTATCTGAAAGTCTGATAGACACATCTGGGTTGGTTGATGCTAGGTCAATGCTGCCCACCAGAATGCATAGTACCAACAGTACCAGCACACCTACTGCAGTGTATATACTTGGATTTATTTTCTGTATTTATTGTTCTATGTCCCTGCACTATGTCCTGTCTTGCACTATGTCCTGTCCTGCACTATGTTGTCTGTAATTGCACTGGAGATCTAGCCTAAAAGTGTTTCGTTGTACTGTACAACCCTGTTTCAGTATAATGACAATAAAGTTGAATTGAATTGAATTGAATTGAATTGAATTGGATTGAACAGTAAAGTTTGGTGTAAAAGACACAATGGTCTGGGAGGTAATGTTAATGTTACAGCATACAAAGACACTTCAGACAATTATATGCTACCAAGAGTTGGTCTGGAGGAATTCCAATGGCCTACACAGAGCCCTGAACTCTACCCCACTGAACATCTTTGTGACAAATTGTAATATCAACTGAGAATCAAGTCTTCTTGTCCAACATCAGTACTTGACCTCACAAATCCTCTTTTGACTGAAAGAGCATAAATTCCCACAAACAAAATCCAAAATCATGTAGTAAGCCTTCCCAACAGAGAATTGCGGCTGTTACAGCCACAAATTGGGGGCAATTCCATACATGTGTCCACATACTTTTGGCCAGATAATGTAGCTGAGACATTATTAACACCATAAAATTGGAAAGCATGTGCCTCTAAAGCAAATCTAAAAAAAAACTAATTAACATACATAGACACATGGAAGTATCTATCTAAACAAAGCCCTGTCATGATCCTAAAATTTTCCCTAAAAATACTTGCCATATAAATAATTACAACTGAGAATCTGTTGTTTTTTTCATCGTATGCAACCATAAAAGTACAAGCTTAAAGTAGCCAAAGTGGCTGATTGGCTATCTTACTTCTCAATGGATGACAGAAACAGCTTAAGCTCAAGTAAACAAACATTACTCACTGCTGCCCTCTAAAGGTGTTATAGGACCAATCAGAAGTTAATGTTTTTTGTAAGAGGCAATTTTCACCTCCTTTTTTCTTGACCACAAGAAAAGCCAGGGACACAGTGTGATCAGATTACGATCAGATCACTCCAACAACATTCTGAGGTGATCAGAAACTTGACCTCATTCAACACAAGTGTTATTCAAATGTGTTTTTCTATGTCTGTATAAAATTAAACTCTTCTTTTACAAGCTCTTAAGACTTACATTCTCTTGTTTCAAGAGCAGGTGATTGTGTCTGAGACACTGCTGCCCTCTGCAGTCTGCACACTTCCAGATCAGAATTACTTGGCATGTATTTAGATCTTTTCTGCTCAAGACAGATCAAATAAATGGACTAAAACATTGGTTGAAGCTGGGGTGAAATATTCTACATCAACAGAAATGAACAGAAAGCCATAAGTTAAGGGTACACACTATTAGGAATGTACACCACTGTTTGAAATTATTTGCCATATAAACTATATTTATTACTTTATATACAATGATAACTTACACAACGTGGAGTTAAATATTACAAACCGTTTGCCAAGGCTTTTTTAGGTGTTTCAATATTTTATTGAATATTTTATACTTAATTCTTAGTGTTTTAAAGCTTTGTCAATCATTTTACGACCTATGTATCATTTTGGGCATATGTAACATTTCTTTTTTTAAATTTTTTTTATTTTATTATTATTATTATTTATTTTTTTTTTTTTACATACAGCTTACTCGTGTCCTACTATTTCAGACACTAGTCTTCAACTAAATTGGTCTTATATTATTGAAAGCATTGATTCTAAACTTTTGAATGATAGTGAATGTGTGTGTGTGTGTGTGTGTAGGTCCCGGACAGTATGAAGCGTGTGTTTAAAACAGAACCTTTATATGAGCCTTTACCTAATTAAACTTCATTTCTTTGGACATGGTATCAATCAACAATCCACCAAATATTAAACTGGAATGTGTTCAACCTGGACTGTATTTTGATGAAAATGTACAATTTTAAAAAACTTCATACTTGAAATAGAAGGCTGCTGGGGGAATATCAGCTGCTGGCTCATTGGCTACAGACCACATGACCACAGAAGGGTGGTTCTTATCCCGCCTCACGAGCTCCTCCATGACGACCAGATGATGGGCCAAGGACTCATTCCCAAAACTTTGTCTGAACAGACATATATGCATTAAATCTGATTCGAGTTGAAAAATCTATTCACAGACAGCCACAAACTCATATATATACACAAGATGAGGCAAACATCAGGAACTCCCCACCAAATAACTGTAAGACACAATGTTGCTGATCAGCAGTTCTCAAACTGAAATGTGTATCTCTGTAGAGCACGTTTTACGTTTACATTAAATTTATTTTGGCCTTATATAAAGAGGGGGTTCATTTTTTCTAAATCTCTGCATAATTAAATGGCTGGGATGCAAACAAAGTCATTCAGAGTGGCTTGATGTGAAATGCTCAGTTCTCGATAAACTTACCAAATCAGAATTGTTCATGTTAGGTGAAACAGTCCCCAAAGAACATTTTTTTCCCCAGATTTATCACTATTATATCAGCAGCAGCAGCAATGTATATGAAGACACATGTAGGTTCACTGATGTTTTGGATAATAAATAAAATGGCTATATTTGTGTTGTAGACCTCTGGTTCCCATCACCACCACTGTAAAGAAAGAGTCTGAGTCTATAAGTTTCTTTACAATGAACCACTTCAAATTAAAACACTAAATGATTTTATTTACATCTAAAATGACTGCATTATGCAGAAATCTTGAAAAACTGATGGAATTCTACTCTAAAAACAGCAGATGTTTTAAAATGAAATACATGCCGTTTCAGACACTCTCCTAATTAAAAAATTAAGCTTTAACTCTACTAACAGCCTTGATTTAGGCCAAACGTTGGATGGTCTAACTTAGCAGGTCTAACTTTTAGATATATTGTGAATTTAATGGATTTCTGACTTTTGACTCAGTATTTCGTGTAAGTAGTACATATTTTACCAAGGAAAGTGTTCTCCTTTACTAGGGAAACCTCTGACAAAACAAACTTGAGTAACTACGAAACTGTGGACAAGTTACACTGTCTATTGGTTTAAATGTTGACCAGATTAGCATTCCATTCTTATAAAGACTGTCTCAAAGCTTACTTGTCTTTAATGCCAACTCCTGGACACTCGTCTATAACCACAATGCCATGACGGTCGGCCATCTGCAGGATCTCCTCAGCGTATGGGTAGTGACTAGTGCGGAATGAATTGGCACCCATCCACTTCATCAGGTTGAAGTCTTTCACAATAAGGGGCCAGTCAAAACCCTTACCTCGAATCTACAGCACAAAAAAACATATATATACACTGACGGCCCCACCAGGAACTGCTGCAATTGTGTTTATAGTTACAATTACAGCAATGCAATAAACTGAAAGTATAGTACCATACAACACAACTCAAAGGTCGGGATAGCCACCGGGCATCCTTAAAGGGGCCTACAGTCTTCTTGTGCTTTTTTCCCCTGATGTCAACATATGTTTGTGGGTGTTTACATACCAAAATAATCGTAGTTTATTTTTACATGACTGTTTCTAACCTCTTTTAATCTCGTAGAATTACACAGGCTGTTTTTGCAACTGTGCCTTTAAGAGTGACACATGTAAGTGACTTCTGTTCTGATTGGCTGCCTTGTATCAAACTTTATTCATAAAGCAATCCAGTTACTTTGCTGCCCCCTGGTGGTACTCACATCTGCATCCTCATGTTTGTTCACTCCATGGAAGTAGAAGGGCTTCTTGTTAATGAGGAACTTTGAGCTGGTGACTTGCACAGTGCGGATGCCCACCGGCAGCATGTACACATCTATCTGCCCACTCTCCGCTGTCAGTTGAACCTAAAGGAACCAACAATCGTGTGTGGGGCATCCAAGAGTAAAACCGGTGGTGTAGAATCAATTCTGTCTGTCTACATACTGCCGTTTAAAAGTTTACAATCATCCATGCCAACAAAGTAAACCCAATTTGGAGATACAGTTGCATACAAAAGTTTGAACACCCCTGGTCAAACTGCATATTGTGTTGATTTTGTGAAAATAAAAAAAATGCCTGCATAGCATCGTCTGAAAAAATACTTTAAATAATTACAGTATATTATCTGTCATTAAATTGTTTTTTTTTTAGTTCCCAAAATATGTGATGTACTGCATGAAATACCTCAAAATACTCTTTGATGACCTGCTTGTAATATTTAAACCTTCTTTGTATTCATTTTCTAAATTAATATGACGTGATTAATTTTTGTTTTACAACAGTAGTGTACAACAACATTTATTTAAGCAATAGTTTGGCAAAAAAATGTTACAAACTTTTAAAGTTTCAAGTAGTCAAGACTTGTTTGGGGTCCATAGTTTGCTTCTTTTGCACTAGAGCTAAAATTCTAATGTCGCTGCCAAATAATGCAGGCTTAAAGCCCTCCAATTAGCATCATGCAAACAACAAAATTAAACTGCTGTCAGAACAAAACTTCCTATCTTCAAAATGATAACTTTACAGGAGAAGCAAAAAACATACTGTACTTTTAATGCAAGTCAATGGAACCAGAATTTTTTTCAAGTCATTTTGGGCCGTTTCTTTTCAACCATTCATTGTTAATTTTACACAAACTGTAAAGGGTAACAGGCATTTTCATATTATGTCAAAAATGGAAAAACTACAAAAATGGAGATTTTGTTCTGATAGCAGCGATGTATAATACATAATCACCCACACACTAGCCTCGAACTGTTAAATTAATCTCAAACTACTTGCTTGTGGTTTCTAAACTGTAGTATGACATGATGTTATCTTTAAACTATGGACAAAAATACACTGCATAGCTATAAACAGTAGCAGCCATTCTGAAGCCTTTGTTCCATATTTTTGTCTGTTGTTTATGGGCTATGCTCTATGGATATGGGCCAACAAAAGGAAATATAGAGAAGGAAGTACGAACTGCAAACCTCAGTTGTTTTACAACTGTCTTGGTTCTTTTTGACCATATTAACCAATGCAAAAATTGCCCTCAGCAGATATATAAAAAAAAAAAAGAAGAAGTGAATGAAAAGAGTAGTGTCTCTATGGCTTTAAATGAGTTGACTGACACTCACCTCCATTGAGTACAGGTAGCCTGCGTTTTCATGCATCAGGTAAGGCCACCACAGGTTGACATTTGGCACTTTTAGAACGCCTGAGGTTCCATCAGCGGTGGCCACGCATCGTCCATCCTTACCCGAAAGAGCAACCTTCACTGTGGGCTTGGCACTGCCCACCACTGACATGTTGTAAAACACAAAACCTAGAAAACACAATTAACAGCTATTCTGTGACCTCTCAGAAGTTCACCTTCAGGTCTCCAGACAAACATTTTACAGAACTGTCCCAGAACCATTCTGAAACATTTCAGCTGCTCCAAAATGCTTCAGACACTCTCTGGTATTTCCAAACAAGTACTTAAATACCCATAGTAACCTTTAAAAACAATAATATTCATGTTTCATAATTAACCATAATTTTAAGTATGTTTGTTACCGAAGTCCAAAACATGTCCTACATATGAAAACTGTAGCTGAACTGCTTGCATGCTGTGTGTTGCTATGACTCCATGATTAATGGAAATACAGCTTTTATGTCACTGCTATCACTTGTATATTGTTTATGAAATATCTCTGAGGTTGAGTTAGTATTTTTCTTTTTTGTGATTTATTTTATTTAATTGCAGGTGAACACATTGTTTGTAAAATATAGTCATAAAACCAAAAATATGCCAGCCATAAACACGAAAAAGTCTAATGCAGTAATCTTTTAACAGGTTGAAAAACAATATATAAAAAAGAAAATTATGTATATTTTTCTCATTTTCAACAGGATAAAAACGACTGTCACTAACCAGTACTGTCAGAAAAGTTAGTGTCCACGGTGATGTCGTCAATGTACGCCCTTGGAGTTGTGTACAGCAGGACGGATCGATGTATTCCCGCATAGTTGAAGAAATCAAAGCTGTAGCTTTGAATGAAGTAGCCTGCGGGGTACCTGATTTGCAAAAGGAAAAGAATAGGAAGGAATAAGAAATGTAAGGAATTACTAAAATGACTGAAAAAACATTCAGTATATCAAAAATACTTTTTTACTAGGCCTGAATAATTTAAGGAAAATTTTGCAATTTTTCTGAGCAACATTGTTAAAATAAATGCAATTACTTTCTATAAATTAAGTGAAATAAATTTCCCCCGTTACTAAACTGAGCTCCGAAAAATCTAGTCAAGGAAATGTTCAGGGAAAAAGTGGAAAGTGAAACTGAACTTTTAATTTTCAGGTTTTTGGCAGCTGCAAAGCTTAAATGTAAATGTAGAAGTTGAATGGAGTGTGCCAGACTGCCAGTTTACAAGCTCTGCATTATTAGGTTTAATTTCCTTACTTGTAACTTCTTAAGACTATGTTAAATGTGAGATATGAATAAAAACTTTTTTTTTTTTCAGACTGCAATTTCGATGTAAAAAAAAAAAAACCATACTGTTTATCCCTACCTTTTACTATATTTATGTTTATTTGCATCTATTCTGATAACAGTGTTTTCACAAGTAAAAATACATTTAGACAAGACAGATGATTATAAACAATGGGCCTCATTCACAGACCGTTCTTACGAAGAAATTTCTTCTTAAAACCTACTTACGCAGTTTTCATGAAGATTCTGACGTTCACCGATGTTTTCTTATTTGGGATTTGTTCTTAGGTAAGAACAGAATCTACACACACTCAAGAGCACAAGGGTGAGAACAGTTCTTCGCTTTAAGAAGACGTCATGAATCTGACGTAGACATTTTCTTAGGATCTTTCTCAACAATACATTTAAGAAAAAACTTAGTAAGATATTGGTGAATGAGGCCCAGTGTGCTGGCGCCACAAACTATTACCAATAAGCACTGTGACTGACTGCATCTAACTGGATGCACAGCGAGGTGCTGTTTGGATATTAAAGTGAATGAAGGCAAGATCAAATACATTGTTCACCAAATCGACCGTCCCCAAAAACATCAAAACGCCAGCTTGCCAAGGCAAGTGATTTTCATTGCTCCTGTCAAAACCTAGTGTTTTGCTTGCTCATAGCAGACGCTGAACCTTAGACTGGAAACATAAACTAACAAAGTAACAATGGAAAATCCTGAATTCAGGATGACTTAAAAGTCTCTGAAAGAGCTCTTACTTGGTGCGATCATTCATGAACTGGATCGTTCCTGGCGGCAGAGTGTGCAGGTCCAGAGTGTTATTAACAGCGATGGTGAGACGACACGGCATGCCCATGTCTTTCCGGATCACACTGTCAATATCCGCCTCAAAGGGAAGATGGCCGCCTTCATGCTCCATCACCTTCACCCCATTCACCCACTGTCAATATAAAGGAATTGGGGAGAAACAGTGAGTTACCTGGCTTGGTTCACTTTCATTTTTCAGCATATGTCAGATTATTAGATTAAGCAGACCACAAATAAATTAATAAACAAAAATGTATGATATGAGAACTGTTTCTCTGCAAATGCTGTCAGGTAAATCATGTTTTGTGGTCATGCTGATTTAAGTCTTTAGCATAAATGCTTTAAAGTTCAACTATAGCCATCACCTACTGGACATTCAGCACATAAATACAGTTTGTGTCATATGGGCATGACAGTAAATCAGTGGTTGTGTCTGTTAGTAATAGCCTCTACACTTCTGGAAAGCCTTTACACTAGACATTCGAACATTGCTGTGATGAGGGTTTGATTGCATTTGGCCACAAGAGCATTAGCAAGGTCAGGTACTGTGGTTAGTTTATTAGATCTGGATCTCAAATTCCACTCCAACTCATGTCCAATGATGGATTCTTCATCACTCCAGAGAACGCAGTTTCACTGAGCTACAGACCAATGTTGGGGGCTTTATACTCCTCTAGGCGGCATTTGGCATTGGGCATAGTGAACTTGTGTGTGGCAGCTCCAGAGCATCCCATTCTCTTTGCAATGCTTTTCTTTGGAGATTATACAAGCTGTATGCTCTACCGAACACCTGTGTCAGTAGCACCTTAATGTAGCGGCTTTAAGCGGCTGGATACTTTTGGACACTTAGTTTAACTATTATGTCTGATCTCATGACCATGCAAATGGAAAAAAGTAATGATCAGTTACTGGCATAGGTCATAAAACGGTCTTTGTCAATATCGGTATCAGACACAAATCAGTTACTGTTATCGGTCATAAAATTGCACATATGTACATCCATACTTACAACCACTGAGTAGTAGTGAGCACTTCCAACTCTCAGGACGATCCTCGTGTCCTTGTCCTGAAGCCAGCGGACAGGGACCCACACTTCCTTCTCATACCACACCCAGCCAATGAAATCCCTCAGCTCAGCATCCTGAGTGATATCATTGAAGCTGGAGGGGACTGCCATGTCAATCACAGGTCCTGTCTGGAAGCCAAAGAGCAAACACACAGTTTAACAGACAGATACAGGGGCTCATAAACAGTGGCCTGTACTCATTAAGCTTCTCAAATCAGCTTATGAGTGCTGATCTATGATATAAATACAAATAAAAGAGATAATAATATAAATAAGATACAAATAGGAGAGTAATCTAGTCCTAGATCAGCCCTCCTACTCTGAGAAGCTGTGTGATTACAGGGTAGTATATTACAAAACTTGTTGCTACTTGCTAAATGAATGTTGACTAATTTCTTCAGTGTTGCATCACGTATTGCGTTCAGAGGTGAAGATGACTGTCTTTACAAGTCCGTTGCATTCCCTAGTAAGCTAGTGCACCTGCAATCTTAAAAAAGATTCTTCAATGGTTCTTTAATGAAGAAAATGGTTCTACATATAACCAAGAACACTCCAAGAACCCTTTGCATGATTAAAGGGTTCTTTGCATGATGAAATGGTTCTTCAGACTGACAGAAAATGTGCATGAATGTGCTATAGATAGTTCTATATAGTCCTATAAGGTTCCTCTATCATTACAAGCTCACCACCGCAACAACAGAAGAGGCCTTTTGGGTGCTATATAGAACCATCAACAGCACATTTTCCATCATCTTTCATGCAAAGGGTTCTTTGAGTGTTCATGATTCTATAGAGAACTATTTTCTTTACCAAAGATCCCTTTAAGAACCATCATCTTTAAATGAGTCGTGACAATGTGATGCCAAATAGAACCATTTTCAAAAAGGTTCTATGTAGAACCAAACACAACACATTTTCCATCAATCTGATGAACTTTTCACCATGCAAAGAACCATTTAAACAAGAAAGCTCCAGTGCAAGAAGCACTGAAGAGCTGTCTTTTGAAGAGGATTTCATACCAAACCACTCTGAATGACTTTGTTTACATTTTATCAGGTTAACAATTTTTAAAAATCACTGAAATTCCCCTTTAATGAGTGAACGACCGTCTCGGTTTAAGCACCTCTGCTAAAGGCTGTTTGAACCAGGCCTGGCTGAACCCGGCGCGCCTGTCCGGGGAGAAGTCCGCCCTGAAGCTCCACAGTCCGTCCAGCTCTTTCCTCTCTCTGGAAGGAGACTCTCGCGGATAGAGCATCCCGCCGGTCACACACACGGTCAGTCCGCACACAGCGGCCAGACAGGCGAGCTTCAGCGGCCACATGCCGAGCGGTTCAGCGGTTCAGCGTCTGTGCGGTGAGAGCTGTGTGTGCAGATTTCTGCACCGTTCTCTACACGGCAACAGCTCACAGTCTGCTTCCGCTGTTTACCTCACATGATCCGCGCGTGGCCTGAAAAAAAAACCGGCAGAGAATTTTAGTAGAGGAATCGCCACTCAGTCATGCCTTTCGGGCTTAACAACGCTAGAGGGCGCAGCCCAGCGAGTCCAAAATGAATGGATTCATACGCAGCATTTGCGCGAAATCGTAGTTTGTAAGTGCTTAATATTTATTATGTAGAAGAAAACATTCATTTCCTGAACATAAAACAGCAGAAAACATTTTAACACTGCCGTTATGTTTCTGAACTCGAGTTATAGGACTTCAAAACGGCGCCTCACGTACGTTCATGACGTCAGTGCTCGCAGACCCGCTTCACTCAGCCAATGAGCTGCTCCGCTCGCCAACCAATCAGCACTCAGTAGCAGTAATGCTAGCGTGCTACTGCCAAAAACCCGTTTGCTGTAGGCAAAAGGAAACAAACTGATAAGTTTTCTTTGCGTTTATAGTAAAAGACTTTTTTCTACTTTCTAAAATGAAAGGAAAGTCATGGAGAAGTGGTTAGGAACTATTTTAACTTTTCGTTTTTAGCCGTTTAGCTCAATTCACCCCCATTCATTTAGGACTCGCTCGCGGGCGCCCTCTGGCGTTTCATGATCCAACAGGGCGAAATAGGATGTGGCCGGGCTCTGCACTACAAGTTATAAGGCCTCAGGTTTTGCCAAAATAAAAGTCCCTCCTCTGAATTCCGGCAATCCCCTGACACTCAAAACTCAAACATGGGCTGCGTCCGAACATTTTAATTCAACTTTTTTTTTTAATCTTTTTTAATCTTGATTTTTGTTTGATCTGCAGTCCATGTGGTTCCACCTGTTATATCAATCTCTACCAAAATATTTTAGGGCTATTTAGGGAATATTTACAGATTATATAAGAATAAGAAAAGCTCAAGATATGTTTAAATGACTGAATTAATTATTATTATTATTATTATTATTATTATTATTATTATTATTATTATCATTATTATTAAACAATTCTGACTCAGTAAGTTTCTCTAGAGCAAAGCATTTCACACCAAACCACTCTGAGTGACTTTCTTTAATTCTTAACCGTTTATTATGCAGAAAAATCAGTGGAATTCCTCTTAAGAAGTGACAGTTTGTGAACTGATTGAAGCTGTATCTGTGTATTTGTGCTGTCATTCTTCTCTGTGCAGCATTACAGAACACAAGTAGAAGATGAAGAAGAAGAAGAAGGAGAGGAAGAAGAAGGAAACACTGCAGTGAGCAATAATCTGCATTAGCATTAAGTGTTTGTAATCTTCAAACAGAATGAATGAGTTCTGTATCTGATACACTCAAGAAGAGCTGCACTAGCGAATGATGTGATGGCTCTCTCTCTCTCTCTCCCTCTCTCTCTTTCTCTCTCTCTCTCTCTCTCTCTCTCTCTCTCTCTCTCTCTCTCTCTCTCTCTCTCTCTTTCTCTCTCTCACCATCTGCAGCATCATGTTCTGCAGGACCTGCTGCAGGAGGTGGTCAGTAGGAGATTCTGATTCTGCTCTCAGCTCACTGAGGTAACTGTCCTCTTCAGATTAGATGGACTCTGACTAAACGCTGCCTCTTTCTCTGGGATGTGGAGAAGCAGCAGTTTCCCTGAAGCAAAGCACAGCCGATTCTTACATACATCACTGTTCAAAAGTCTGGAGTCAATGTTTTCAAAATGACTGAGAAAGCTGAACAGCATCCAGAAGGAAATTAGAATAAATTCACATCTAGAATGTCTGACAAAGCAAAACAGTGATCACATTTTCAGACTATAAATACATCATGATATTATTCATCATTTAACCATTTATTGTTTATGATTAATACTGTTTACATTTTCACTGTTTATGTAATTATTGAAAGAGCCCATAACATGGAAACATGAATTATCCTTCCTTTTTTAAAAAAAAATATTTTGATGTAGTTTGTAAACATTGTTAAAGCTTCAAAATGTTCCATTCAGTCTCTGGTAACTGAAACTAAACTGAAAAAACAGCCTGTTTTGAATAATTGTATATGTGATGCCACAAAAACGAACACATTTACATATGTTAGCCTATTCAGACTACAGCGGTTTAGCCCCGACAAGGAGTGTTTCAGTATGAACTGCTTTTTGAATGTGGCACAATACAGGGCAGCCAATCAAAATGGAGATCATTTACATAAGTCAGTTTTGAAGGTGAACGGTTTTGAAAGGTTAAACAGCAAAACCAGTCTGTTTAACTCTGAAAGGTTTTTGGTACATAAAACTCAGCAGACATTATGAGGGGGGAAAAACACAAGACAAATGTAGGATGTGGACAAAAAATCTATTAATGAACTTACAGCACCTCTTATTATTTATTTATATAAGTATATAACTTATACTTTTTATTCTTGTTAAAAGTCTTTGTTGTATTTATTTCAGCATCATTTTCTTCCAGCCACATATTAGGACAGCATCTGATTATGTGAGGAACATGTGGAACATTTTCAGGTTCACAGTAGATCCTGCTTTTTAGTCAACAACACAACAACAGTGATTAGTTCTAAAAATATAATAAGTTTAATAGAAGCTCTGTATTAAAAGTGTTAACCATATTATTGTTTTCCTCTAAATGTTTTAGTAAAGCTACATTTCTCTTCTTGTCCTCTAACTGATTGTGTGAGTGACTAAATCCAGGTTGCTCTGTCCTGTTTAAACACAGAGACTTTATCAAAGCTGTGGTGGAAGTAACAGATCAGCTGCTGCAGATCTGTTAGTGAACTCACAGCTACTCTGTGATGCTGATGGTTACGTTCTGGTTACCTTTCACTGACTGTCCTGCTTTATTCAGCTTTAAACTAATCAATCAGAAGCTGTAATCAAAGTAAGTTTGACGGTAATGATAGCTACACTGAGTTAATGCTTTTTACAACAATTGTTACCACAAAGCAGATTTACAGAAAAGCTAGGTCCGTGCCCCAGTGAGCAAGTGGCAAGGAAAAACTCCCTCAGAGCAAAAGGAAGAAACCTTGAGAGGAACCAAGACTCAAAAGGGGAACCCATCCTCCTCTGGTCGACACCGGATAGCAAACAATAACACGACAATATATATAATACATATAAATACAGGATAGGATTTCATAGTTAATATACAATAGTGAATATAGAGAATAAAGAAAAATGACCACTAGAGCTCTATCAGACTAACGATACATGCAGTAAACACTGATTCTACTTCCTAGTCTTAGTTTTAAGTTTTATGTGTAGTTCTTTATCCATTCAGCTATAATTCTGATATTGTTTTATCATTTTAGTTCATTACTAACTTTTAGAATTTAGGTTAAAATAGTTTTTAAGACAATTGGTTGGGTACGGTGCAGACGCCTATTAGATGCACCTTAAAAGCTGGTGATCAGATTGCTTTGTAAACTAAGTGTGTATGGAATGAGGATGGACTGGAAAAGTTAGAGGAGATAAAACTGAATAAAAAGAATGGAAAAGGCAAAAAACAGCTGGAAGAGCAGCAGGAGAAAGTAATGGGTGAGAAAGTTGTATATATGTTGTATATATACATATATACCACAGGCCAATCTACTGGAAGCAACAGTAAGTTTCCAAAATAAGTATGAAAGTATTCTCTATATTCTTTTACAGACAGTAATATGTTCATTAGCACAGAACAGTGGGGTCTGACTTAATATCTGCAGCAATCATACATGAATCAGAACCATAATAAACTACATATATATATATATATATAGTTTATTATGGTTCTTCTTAATATGATTCATATATGATTGCTGCAGATATTTATTATTCCATAATAAACTACATATATATATATATATATATATACACATATATATATACACACATATATATATACATATATATATGTAGTTTATTATGGTTTTTCATAACAGTCAATGGGTGTCATGATTTCTTGAGTCCACTGTATTTTAAACACACTCATTATTCTCTACCTGTTTGTCCAGTCTCTCTTTTTGTCCCTGAGAGCAGCGACCTCACACTCCCGAAACAAAAACCAGTACATGAGCATTACAGTAAAGAACAACAGGACACTCAGTAAATGATATGTTTGGTAGGATGGAACTGGTGGAACTTACCAGCTGGTTGATGTTCATGTGCAGGCTGTTCATGTCCAGGATGATGGTCTGATCTGCAGCCGGATGATCGTAGAACCAACTGCCCGCACAAAGCATCTTGAAGAGCAGCAGAGCAGAACAGACAGACAGACTGACAGTCCATCACTCAGAAAGGCTTTAGCTACAACACACAGGCTAAAGAATGTGTGTCCAGTTAATAACAGCACCTTTTATGCACCACTATCCAACATGATCCCTTATGACTGCTGAACATGGAGGAAGGTGTTCTGAGTTTATTCAGAGTCAAACAGGCTCCCGAGTGGCGCAACCGTCTAAGCGTTGGCCCTATCATCAGGAGATCGCGAGTTCGATCCCTGGTGATGCTACAGCCATCCGTAGCTACAGCAGTCCGAGAGAGCACAATTGTCCTCGCTCTCTGGGTGGGTAGGATGGCCCCTCCTTCTCCCCCCATCACTCAGCGCGATGCTAGTCAGCGCAGGCGTCTGTTAGCTGACGTAACAGATCTGGCGGTTGGCGCTTTCCTCAGAGCGCGTTCGGCTGTCCAATGACGTTGCATGAGCGGCAGCTCGAAAAGAAGCGGTGGTTGGCTTCACAGGTCTCGGAGGAAGCCTGTGTTAGCCTTCACCCTCCTAGCGTTGATAGCATCGTGTGACTGGGGGAGTCCTAACTAGCGGGTGGAATTGGAGACGACTAAATTGGGGAGAAAATCGGGTAAAAATTAACAAGAAAAAAAAAAGTCAAACAAGCGACAGATGAGACAGTTTAGCAACACTTGAGCTAAATAAAGTCAATAAAAAATCCTGTGTCTCCCAGCAGTGAATGTTATTTGTAGTGTTTGCTTAAAAGCATGTCAAAAAGCAATACAGAGCAATGTGGCGTGAAACCCGCCTTTCATCCTACGGACTGTGGCGC